CAATTACACAGACCCGATTTATTATTATTAATATTCTACTATTATTACTCTAAAATTTTTTTAATATGGCAAGTATAATGCTAACATCCTTGAAAATTGTGTATTATTGCATTTTTTTGAAGAAACCCGAAATGGTTTCTTCACAACACTTATGTACCCATAAGATGTTTGTGAATAATAATAATAATAATAATAATAATAATAATAATCAGATAAAAGTGTTAAGCATTATTTAGCGTTCATATTTAAGTGCCCTGCTGCTATTTTGTTTCTCTTTCTCCAGAACCCTGCTTTGAGGGCACGGTTATGGAACTTCTAACGTGTGGAACAAACCTAACGTACGCGTCCTCTCAAGGTCATACTTCACACCAAGCGCTCTACAAATCTACTTTGTAACGTTTGTGAACTTAAAAAGTTGTATTGCATAATTACTTAGCACGACCACAATTCTAACACAATTCTGCTAATGTTGGATCCGATGTGTAACGTGAACACGACGCCGCTTTGGAAAATATTTCGAAGACTGTACTCAGTGTAATACTAAGGCATAAACCTAATCATTAACGCTCCAAGACATCTGCATGAATGTAATGTTACTCACTTTTATTCGTTTTATCTATTTAACGACCCTACTTGTGAAGCATACTGTAAGCAAATTAGCATTGTAATTTGTTGGTCATGTCTGTAAAAATGGTGTATATTTGTTTTGGCAGAAATATATTATTATTAGTATTATTAAGTGAGAAAACGAGGAACAAAGTGAGCGGTACTTCTGACATAAATCTTTTGGGGAAAATCCTCTAGCACCGTGGAACTGTCTTGCTGAGCTATAGATGAATGGAGGGTGAACTGATAATGTCAGTCGGCAAATCAAGTGTTCCAATCCACATCAACTTGAGTTTCCTTCCCAGAACATCACTACCACATTGATCGGGGTAACCCCTGAAAGACTGCATATTGAGGCGCACACTCAGATACGTTCCGTGGGAGTCGCTCCCACTTGGGATGATCTCTAAGTGGAAATGACTCCAATCCTCTCAGTGGATAACTTAAAGAGGAGATTTGACAAAGACGTATTTACCCACGGGTTGGCGATTCAGTCTGGGACTAGCTGTATCTGATGCGTGTCTAATAATTTACTACAGTTGTCATTATTACATATCATTGGCCACTTTCTAATTCGCTTATTATAATCAACGTTTCTCCTCTCTATTCCTAAACTTCGATCTTCTCTTACTGTATCATTTTATTGACATATTTGCTTCTCGAAACAACCGAATCGTCACTTTATTATTGTCACATTTTAACCGACCAAGGTTCTGATTAGTAATGCAATAGAGGCTGGTATCCAAGATCTTTACTACAATGAGACAAACGCATTCCCTCGAATTATAAGATATGAAAACTCACAACCAACTACAAAAACTGAGTAGAATTAGTGCAATCCAGTGGCCAAACTAACAGCGGATGTTTAATAAAAGATTTATGGAACCATACTGCTGAGTCAGCTTCGAAAAACTACAACGGAGCTTCCAGAAGTCCTAAAAGAGCCGAAGAGTTTCAGCCAGTCAGAGCATGTGAGAGCTTCCTAGAATATGAACGTGGTATGATACTATTGGTCAGTAGCATATTATGTCTCTTAGCGGACTGGTCAAAATATAATGTTGATTTGACAAATGCTAATAATCTATAAATACCCGTGTTTTTCTGTACAAAAACGAACCTTTAGAGTAAAGTGTTTCTCGCTTATTTCGCGCCTTTTGTTTCATGTTCAGGTCTCTGCGTAGTTCTAGATTGTGGGTTACCAGAATAGCATAGGAACCGAATAAGCGTTCAAATTAGCAAGACTTATCACATACCGAGACATAGAGAAAGGAGGGGAAAGAAATCGACCAACTTACACAAGTTTGTGATGAAGATATCAGATACGGAACATTGAATTTTTCGCCTGTGGTGGACCATATATGTCAATTCCAAAATATTGATAAGATTACTGCAAAAATGCTTAGTTTACTAACATACTGAAATGTAAACTGTACACGAAGAGAATACGGGACTCAAGTTAAATCGTTAAGGGCTGTGTTCGGGTCACGTAATCCACGGTTACAAGCAGTCAGTGATTCCAAACATAATTGGTATGACCCAAGACGTGCATCCAGATAAATATAGTGTGATCTGTAAACACAGCAAATATATAAGAGTTATGTTATTGTGACAGATGATAAGTAAGAATGAGTATATATGTGCAACAGTGTATTTGTGAGCGATAATCGATGTCATCACATGAGTGCACAAAATGAGAACGGAATATCAAAGTCCAGTTTTTGTAAAGGACGATTTCAAAGCCAATAACTATCACTGTACGAATTACACAAAATTAAGAAAAATAAATGTAAACGAAATCATAAACTTATTGAAAAAGAAGTTTGTGTTAGTTATATCTACACTCTAACGTCTTCCTTAAGGTCACTTATAAACAACGCTAATTTAAAAATACCCGGAAGTGATCTGTAAGTCACACCCTGAGTTTTCTTGTCTTCAACTCTTAGCACACACAAAAGTTATTTAAATAAACATATAGGTTGTGGATTATTAAGTAAGGATTCACAAATTTAGAGTGTCAGAAGTGCTGACTATCTAGATATTGGTACAACACATCTGATGGAACAAAATTATTTTCCTTAAAATCTTTATGAGGCATAACTTTTAGATTTAGTAATTTTGATGTGCATATGTGGAGGTGTTACATAAATCACAGGAGTTTACGAGCCGGTGATAGGATGAAAACAGATTATACAACTAAATACAATAGGTTGAATGTACAGATTAGCATTGAGTTGACAGATACACTAATAATGACAAAGGCAATGAGAGCCCTATCTGGTGTTTTAAAATATGAAATAGGTCAAGAGTTGTAAAATCGGACACTAATAGAGTATTATGGAGTACAGGTAATCAAGAATTACTAAGACATGTAATAAGGAGTGTTCTAATTTTATTTTAGACAGGTTACTGAAATTAGTGGGGAGAACAAACAGAAAATCACCTGAAGATTAAAAAATGGTACTATTATTTGTCGATCCGTATCTAGTTAAAGAAGATCGTGTGATACTACAATTTTCTGAAAGCATAAACTAAGGTTTCTATCGCATACATAGCGATTGCGTGCACTTATGTATAGAATGTACGCATATCAAATGTGTATATTCGCGACAGCTTAACACGTATTTGGAAATGTTTTGACACGTGCAGTTCAAAAGTTCGGATACTTCACTTCTAAATGCAGTTGGTGATGATGTTATTGAGAAAAACAATGGAAGCCCCATGATCATATCGTTCACTTCAAAAACAAAGTCACTGAAAACGTGAGAAGTTTCTCATATTCACAAAAACTACCGGATGGATTAGTAGCTCCTTTCGATCCCCCACTTCAGGACGAAATTGTAAACCGTATAATTTTCTCTCAACTGTGGTTATATTTCTCGGCACCAGGTTTCTGACATTTGCCCAAACACTTGGTAGAATAGTGACATTGTTTTCATAATAGACTATCTATCATGCAGATCTTTCCAATTCTTAACATTTTGAGTTATAGGTGAATTGCTATTATAATCTTAAGCACACTAAGAGTTTGAAAAATAATAAAATCAGGATGACGCACACGCAATAAAAGAACACCACATATAATATGCAATAATGAATACAGAAACATGTTGTCAAGGGTCGTCTTTAATTTTTTCCCATAATTGTTCGTCTCGATTGATCTATCTAACTTAAAACAATAGTGAGGTGAATGTGAACTACCATTTCTACAAAAATGCAAAGAGACGAACGCTTATAAGTTATCTGTTCTTAATCAACTCGTCATGAAGCTTTCGATATTAGGTATTACAGTCCTCTCTAAATTCGTGCTTTTTACGTATATTCCAGTGTGACGTTACAAACGTAACAAGGTTTATAAATACTGTTACAGTAAATGTCATGTTAAATTTATTTACGCGCATTTGATAGAAAAACTAAATATTTTATTGCGAAAGCTTTCATTATCTGTAAACGCTCCGCTCCACACCCGGTCGCTAAAAAATGTCAAAATCAGAGAAATCAAATTTGCGAACCTTGCGAAAGAAAAATACAGTTAGGTATTACTCACTTTACAACCTTTTCCGGTTAGTATGACCAACAGTTGATACAGATATGCCCTAAATTTCCACACCTTATAGTTTTATTTTAGTAGGTATGTTAAAACTGTCCACAGAATTCTTGAGTAATGTGGTATAAATGATAAGAAGTTTGGAACTGTGCCTTTAATCATCTCATTTAAGGTTTGTTCATAAATTCTGGGCATTACGAGAAATGGTTTGGAGAATGAATTTCCTTTGTTTTATAATATCAACTAGAAACTAACGTTATATCCTATATTTAATAAGATAAATAATTTTCCACATGTTTACTGTCATTATTGTTGGACTAGTTCTACTTTAGTGAATTACACTGATAATGTAACAGTTTATTAATTAAGGTCTGCCACAGAACTACTTTTTTACTCCATTGACTGCTGGAGTAAAATTGGCCATAGGTAGCTACATTATGACATAAATCTATGAATTAAGTACCTGAATAGGATAAATAGTGTGGGACTTTTTTCATATTTAGGTAAAAATAGAATGGAGTTAGTGTTTTTATAGTAGAATATTAGCACTCAATAATTTAAATCCAAAAAATTATACGTAACCCCTAAGGAGTATTTTGCACATTGTTTCAAGATTTGAATCCAATAATAAAATGGATTCTTATTTGTAAGTTTGTTTAAAAGACCCTTGACCAACTCTCCACTTTTATGTTAAAGATTTTAAATGTTTAAACCAGCCTAACAGACTTATATATGTTCCATCGATGGAAAATATCGAACTAAGATACTTTCGAAATCTCATTACATTCATTATTCTGATTACTTTTAAGTTTTTTCAATCCAATGTTTACCTTTATTTTTGTTTTGATAGATGCTGCTAAATCTTATTAGTCATAAATTTCCTAGATTTTATTCTTTGGACAAAATTTCTGCCTTCAAAGAACTTAAAATGAGGAAACATTCACATGTATATGATTCACAAAACTCCAAAGAATTTCAACACAGTGTATCTGTTAATTCTTCGAAATCTGACTCATCTGCACCAATATTTCATGAATGTTTTTCTTCAGTTGAACAGCTGTCTGGACCTGTATCTAAACTGAACGAAATAATTCAGGACCTTATTGACTATAAAGTAAGATTTGTGGATGGAACATTCTCAGTAGACTTAGTGCTTGATGCGAAGTTTAGGATTTATAAGCAGTATATTTTATTTAGCCAATATTTCAAAAAGTGCCTAATATGTTTTAGTTGCTTTTAAAAATGAAGGATTATCGTTTTATTCAGATCGATTAGTAAGGCACTTTGTGTACGTGCTTGCATGGAACTACTGAAATATTTGCAGTGAATAAATACTTTTCGAAAGTAAGATCAAATATTATAGTAAATGTTTTTGTAATCCTAACCTGTAAAATTAATATTTAGCAATAAACCTTAAAAACTATCAAGGGATATATACACAGCTGACTCAATTTAACCTTCTTAATGCTGTGTGAAAGGTTATAACTTTGAATTCTAATATACAGATTATTGGTTTTCATCATAAAAAGATTTAAAAGATATTTGGTCGGACATCCTGTTATAAGTTTACTTCAGAAGGCTTATGTGCATTATTAATTATTAGTTCAGTTACAACACCACAAATGGATAAAAACAGTTTAAGTCTAGACCCATTTGTATCAATGTGGGCTGGTTATGGTATGGGTACATTTGAATTTTATTTTAAACTACATTTTCCGCTACTTCAGCTTTCATAAATCAAACATTAGATTATAATGTGGACTAAATTGTTCAATTATCTTAGAAATATAGCTCGCACCTGTTGTGACCACCGGGTAAGTAATAGTGAGGTTAGACACAGGGTATTAGGGAATAATGGTAAGTCAGTCTATGGGGTTGTCATTCCTCATCCACTGAGATGGTTGGGCCACGTGTTACGTATGCCCGAACACCGTTCACCACGACGCGCAATGTTGATTGACCAAACCATCCAGCTCAGAGGACAAAACTCCATCAAAACCATCCACCTGAGCTACAAATATTCTCCACCATCTCAATATTCATTCTATCAGAAGCATATTATTTCATGATTCCTTTCAGAATCACTGTAAATTAGTTGTTACAGAAATTCAGTTTATCGGATATTACAAGTTATGTAGAATTACTACAATCTTTTTGAATTTAACCGCTGAAGTATGGACTCAAATATGAATCTTACAAATTCAGTTAGGTTATTTAATTTAAGTTTTAGGTTTTTGAATTACCTTGTTGATATTTTTGGTTAAATTCCTGATCAACTTTAGTTTGACAGTTGAATGTATCCAATGCGGATTCCCTCAACTTAATCATCATGTTACACGTTTTACATAAAATAAGTGGAATATGGTTAGTAGCGAAATTCAGCAGGTACGCGAAGTCCTTTTTCGGACACTTCAAGCGGATTTATCTGCATCCTAGTGTTGATGTTCATAACAGGTCTTGAACGCAGCATCTTCCGCAGGTATGTTTAACTAACGCGTCCAAAACACGACAAAATCCGAGTCCTGAATCCCACTGCAAGTAGAAAATCTATTCCATGAAAATTACGTTAATTACTTTTTACTGACTCGTTTAAAAGTTTAGTGTAGTTAATCTTTTTCTAATATATACAAACAGTGCCACTTTATTCGATATAAAACTCAGACCATTGCGTTTAGTTTATATGTGAATAGGTATTTTTCACACAGGGCCTATTTTTTATATTATCACTAGGTATATATTGTTTTTACTATATTTTGTCATTACAAAGAACGATGCTGAATTTGCGGTTATGACTGCTTCAGATTTGGCTAAACGTCTCTACTCTAACATATCTGCCGATGAAGCATTTCAAGTTGTATCATATATCCATAAATTTGCACGTTATCAAGCTGCGCGTTGTGGATTGGTGAATTGTTCTGAGGTATGTTGAAAACTTGTGTTTATGGGAAAATCAGGTTCTTTGCATTAATTTCTTCCACTATGAACTTTCTTAGAGGAATTCAATGGTTGAATGTTTTCTTGTTTAAAACTTATTGTTTAATTGTGTTTCCAATAAGATTCGAATTCGTTCTCCATAAATTCTCCCACTGTGACTGCTACATTGATATGATGATCGTTTTAACATATCATAATGACTCAATTGAGCTGTATTGTTTGAAATACCCATCTTCTTCGGTCATCCCATGCCAAGAGAGCCGATTAGAAACTGGTAACAGTTAAAGTAGAAAACCTATGGTCGTAGTGTAAAGCTGTATTGTCGAGGTTACAGGGCCACAACAGCAGTAAGGAGTTTTCCTTAAACAGTTAGTAACAAGATGTTACTTGAACCACGGGTTTCTGTTTTTGACGATAAGATCTTTAAAGTATGGAGCGCGTAGGTTCAAAACTATCCATCAAAAGACCGTTTGTAATCAGCTCCAAGGAGTTGTCACCTGGATTCTGTGGTCATACTCTAAAGTGGCCAATACCTTACCTTAGTTGGTTTCCTGTTTAAGTCCCTCAAGAAAAACCAACCTTCTACTAAGTTTTGACAACCGGCAATTTGCAAATACCCTCCTACCTCCAACAATACTAATTGCTTTTAATGATTAAGTATCATCCATTAGTTAATCAAATTAAAGTATTCACAAAGAGGCTAGAAAATTGTTTGTGTTATAAGGGTAGTGGATTCCGATTTCTTTTTATTTACCTAGATTGTTTATTAAATGATAAGTTTGTTTTCTGTGGTTGGCAACGATTATTCCATCACACCTATATCATGGGAGTATTCATAGACTAATTCCACATTTCTCGAGAACACAAATCTACTTTTCCAATACTCAAAAAAAGTTGTGTGATTTAGCAATCACCTTTCACAACTTTGTTGGTAGGTTCTTAGCATACGATATGATCGTATTAGGAACATATAGGTTAAGAAATTCATCCCATTTTGCTGATCGACTAAATAGTAACAATGTTACTGGCAAGTCCATGTTCAATGACCTAATCAAAGGTCAATAAGGACTGTTACATGTTACCATCAACTGTGTTTATAAATTTACGAGTACATTGCCAAACCAGCTATATTGACCCAACACAAAGAAGGGGATATCTTAGATCTTTTGAATATGTTCCAGAAAATCTTCGAACAAGAAATAGTACTATTTTAATTTTAAACAACTCAATTACAAAATATCTCATATATGCGGAACACCAGGTCGATATCCTGGAATCCTGATCAATAAACAGACAAGCTCCAGTATTCTGAAGCCTGATTTATGTGTTCAAAAGGAGATGGTTTCTAGTCTTTCTTTGCCTTGGTGACAAATATTCTTTGATTATACTATAAAATTCTGTTCAGTTCCTTTTTTTTTAGTTAGTTACATGATTAAATTTCTTTATTTCGACTATCTTCTAGATTAATAATCTTATTTTAGTCAACTAAACTTTACTTGTTATCAGCGTTTACTCGTTACGTAACCACTTGTCTCTAAGACTTTTGATACTAACAATATTATAGAGTGCCTTTTTATATAAAGTTTATATTTACAATATCTCATTCAGTCTATTAAGTTTATCGTCACCCTTGCTCTGCTATATTGATGTGTTTTCAACATAGCTTCCAACTAAACACTTTCATGTAAGTGATTTAAACCCATTTTGTAATTATATTCTTAAATATCACAGGTTGTAAACAACCGACAAGAACCAAACGAAATGAAGTGAGTTCATGCTATTCTGCTCAAATCTTTGTTTCCGCTCTCTTCAAGATGATAAAGGAAATTATGTTTATTAAACTTGACCTATTATACATGTCCAATCTGTATCATTCACGTTGGGGCGACGCAAGCTGAACTCTTATTTATCCGTTATCTGGAACCCCTTCTATATCTCCTACTTTGAGTCTATAAGGAAACTAGTCCCTATTATACTCATATTTCAGGCACACATAGGGTTTATATATAGACATACTGGACCACATCACTTCATAGTTTGAAAAACGACAACTATACATAAACGAGCTAAAAGTGACTATGAATAGGTGGTCAAGCAACAACTTAGGAAATATTTATTTTTCTATTTATTTGAACACATAAATATTAGTACAAGAGAGCGCCAATATATATGCGCCACACAAAACAATGAGAATTCGAATAGAAAAAAAGGTAAGGAGCGTAAAAGAAAAAGAGAACAATAACGAAGAGATTGGTGTAAGTAGTGTGGTATTAACGAGAGAACGGAAAGGTACAATCAGAAGAAATCTTTCAGGTAAGGGAGACACAACCACTTTTTATGTTTGACTGCCATTGAAAACCTGGAAGCCCTGGAAGGCCTTTTCGTCCCACTGTGGGACTCCTCAGCAGTGCTCATTCACGATCCCGCTCGCGCGATTCGAACCTAGGGCTTTCACTCTCGCGTGTGAACGCTTAACCTTTAGACCATATTATTATTCTACTTACTTTTCAATTCAACATTTATACGGGTTTATCATACACTATTATTGCCTTACATATAATTTAGTGTTTTTCATGTATAAGTCCAGTAGTTTATAGATAGTGTTACTGCAATAAATGATTTGATTAAACTCTACTTGACTACAGTTTTTATCATAAACTATTATCAAGTAAATGACCATTGGAAACTGGATAGTATTGAATAGATATTTCATTCTTGTTTGGTACTGTTCATCAGTAGTTTACACACGTTATTTCATGTATAAAGTTAAACTTGAGGCGTTTCAGGTATTTGTGATAGGCAAAATATCATTGAACCGCTAACTCATTAGTTCATAATTAGATTCAAATCTTTACAAAACTAGAATAAAACACTTCTTCAATGTAATCACAGTTGATTGATCAATGGGTGGTGATCAATGTCATATGTGTGTCAAGTCCTTATTTAGTGCAGATCGAATGCTATCGATCATGTTGCAATGTTGCCACCAGTCTAGGTGACTCGACACTGCATGCACTATATATTGAGATTAGATGGTGGTTGGAGGTAGTCGACAGGAAACCCTGGACCCGGGTTTCGTGCTACTTGGCACTCGTCAGCAAGGTGTACCTGTAATCTTGAGGGAACTGGTGCTCCCTGGCGGATTCGACCCCATCTAATCTCAATATATAGTGCCCACAGTGTCGAGTCACCTAGACTGGTGGCCACATTGCAACATGGTCGATAGCATTCGATCTGCATTAAATAAGGACTTGACGCACATGCCATTGATCACCCAGTGATCAATCAATTGTGATTACATCTCAGTCCTATAGGATGTCAGCCGCGGGCTAGATAGCTCAGTGGTAACGTCTTTGACTGTGAAGCTGTGTGATACTGGATCGAATCCTCCAGGGAGCACCAGTTCCCTCAAGATTACAGGTACACCTTGCTGACGAGTGCCAAGTAGCACGAAACCCGGACCAGCGTTTCCTGTCGACTACCTCCAAACGCCATCTAACTTCAATGTGTTTTCTGATTTTTAGAGATTCTTTAGATGAGATATCAATCAGTGATGAAATGATCTTGAACTTGGCTTAATCTCTATACATGACTACCTTTACTAAGTATGTATTTCTACTATTTAATTTCTTTTATATAGTTCGTTCAAATTGCTGATAACATTAACCAATATAACTACAATTATTCAATGTCCAGATATCTTTTCTTTTATAGCTTGTTCGAGCTATTATTCACATTCTTCAAACAACTAAAAATGTTGACCTACAATTTGAAGCTGCATTGACACTCCAATTGTTAACTAAAGCTTTAACTGGTGCTAAATTAGCCTGTGAAGAGATTGGTATTCCACAATTAGTTGAAATGTTAAGGTACGGATTTTTTTTTAAAGATTCGATTCACTTGGTGTTTTTGTTTACTTGCATCTTCCCATTGTTATTTAGGACTGTAAGTGATCAGTCTCATGTTGGCATATGTACATCCTGTGCGGATCCCTTCAATATAGCCTTTCAAGTAAATATGGATAGTAGCTAGTAGTGGGATCCAGGATGCGTGTTTCATTCTATTTGGGACTCTTTAACTGGATGTACCTCCACCCCAGGCTATATCGAGGCAATCCGCACAAAATGTACATATGCCAACATGAGACTGATCAATTGCAGTCCTAAATAACAATAGGAAGATACAAGTAAAACAACATCAAGTGTATTTAAACTTCACCTCATTGCGCAAGCAAGTGGTTATCAGGACTCAGTAGCTAAGTGGATAACGCGATGGCGTTTGAAGCAAACGGTACTGCGTTTGGAGTCCCGGAGTGAACATCACCTCTGCGATGCAGGTACATCCAGATGACGAGTCCGAAATAGGACAAAACGCGCGTCCTGGATTCCACTACTAGCCACTATCCATCCTTGCTTATATTTTATTAGACCTACATAAACATTTTTGGTTTGGTCTGAAATAGTTGTCATCATAAAGGCTTATAGCTACCATATTATTTCTATTGACCTTCATTTTATTACACGAAATATACGGTTGAACTAGTTTGTTGTTAATTATTCCCTGTATTTGACATTGTCTTCGTCAACTTAATCCTTGTATTTCGACTATTAGAATCCATTCATTAACACTGTGTATAGATTAGGGAGAGACATCTTCACAAGACCTACAAATCTTCGATTCAGTTCTTGAGGGATTGATGACATAGGTAATGTTAAACGAGAGTCCTATACTAGGACGGTGTAACTGTCTAATGCTTCCTGGTTTTCAATAGTTTTATAACTAAGATTAATTTATAATGTGAATTATGATATTCACGCTCTAGAATCGTTGACCATGATGATACTTGAGGGGAAGTTTAGAGTTAAAAGCCTACATAGGAGGAATAATAGGAATTGAAGAGGGAGATTGATTATGAATATAGTCGTCTTCAGTGCTGTTGGAAGTATGAGGGCGGTATTCACTTCCCGGTTGCCCACACTGTGGAAGGGTTCTTCTAGAGGTACCTGGAAAGGTAATTGGATTGAAGGTGGTCTTAGCGACCACAGTGCCCAAGGGGCAACTGCTTGCGGCCGGTCACACACGACCATTTCATTATAATTTTCGTATTAGCTCCGTACTTGTTTGGACCTCACCACCGGAGACGGGAATCTGTGGGATACGTCGAGGTGCCCATTTTTAGGGTCGACCTTTTCTAACCCCACCCTTTCTTTATGGGGAAGCAGCATCGTTGATATGCTGGTTGTATGAGAGAAACACGTTACTCCCGTCACAGCTCTGTAAAGTCAGCAGTACGACTTCGCCCTCGGACCTTGGGTTTGTTGCTTTTAGTTTTATCGCTCTACAACCAACCTGCTTGACATAGCAGGACATTGAGCCCAACTGGTTCATCAAAATAGGCAAGCCCGACCACCACGTCAAGGTAGCAGCAAGGGTGATGATAATCAGATATAATAAAAAAAATTATGATTGACTAGTAAATGTTATTGTGAATAGTTAATTCAAATTGTATCATTTCATACTAATTATTTATTTAAACACACAAACATTGGTATAAGGAGGCACCAAATTGATATGCGCCACACAATAACAATGAGGCCAGTAACAGTAATCATTGATTTGTGAGAGGGCTGGGATGCTGACCGGGTGCCTAGAATGAAACAGGTGGTTTTCTTAGGGGCCCACACCTGAAGCCTGTGACCTAAATGTCGGATCCACAAGGCAGTGGAGCAGCGTCAGGAGATGCAGTTCCATGGTAACCGGTCACCGACAATAGGTTAATACGCCATTTGTTCCCTCAGGATCCTGGAATCCATGTTCACCATTGGCTTGGAATGAGGGTTTTTCAACTCCTCTTAGTGGACCCTCCGTATACACCAACCCTGTTAAAGTACTGGACATTCGCTTTTCGTCCTCTCAATTTTGTGAACTACACCCGTGGTGCGAGAAGTCAGTGAGTATGACTTCCCTGGCAGTTGTTGTATGCACGTAGCCATGTGAAAGCATTTAGAGAGAGAAAGATGACCCTTTTCACCGTCCACCATACTAGGACATTTGGGGATATGTTTAGTGTAATTTATATCTAAATGTCACATTTAATTAGGTGGTCCATAAAAAAAAACCTAAAATTAATTTCGCACAATAAATGAGTAGCCGTCTAGTACTTCTAGGTTTTCAGCGGTGATCTAACCCAGATCGACTCATGAATTCAACCGTTATAATATTCATAGTTTATTTTTTGATCGACTTTTTAATTAATCGACATAAATTATTTTCATTAGTAGTATCTAATTATGAAAAAGAAATATCTCATTTTCGATCAATTATTGAATACGTCTTTGGATATGTTCCAGTGTCTGTAATTAAAGATATGTTGTGAACTAATAATAAAATAATGTGATATCAAGAAGATGGTCATTTCAATGTAATTTACCTACCGATTCAAAGACTAATGGATCCAATGTTATAGTATGCCTTATTTGATTTAAGTAGATGTAATAAATGAATCCGTTAAATAAGCAGAATGACAGATAGATAAACCTATCCGGCATACCCTATTTTCCCCAAAATGCCCTGGTATGACAGAGTAGGGAGAGTCAGCTTCCCTCTCAAAATACTCTCGCATGACCACACGTGTACAGCCACTGTCAGGGAAATCCTACTTACTGCCTTCTCGCGACATTACTTTTGTTTACGAAATTGCGAGGACGAAAAGAGAATGTCCGGAACCTTAACCGGGTTGATGGATATGAATGATCCACCTAAGGGAGTTGGAAAATTCTGATCACAAACGAATGGTGCACATGGGCTCCAGGATCCTGATGGAACAAATAACGTATGAATCAATCGTTGGTGACCGGCTATCATGGGACTGCATCTTCTGACTTTTCTCCACTGCCTTGTGGATTAGATCTTTAGGTCGAAGGCCCCGATTATGGCTTCCTAAGAACACCACCTGCTTCGATCTCAACACCCTGACGGTAAATAAATAAATAAATTCAAATGAGTTCCTTACTAATTTAACAATAAACAAACATCTTAAATATATGAAAGTGGATTATTTAAACATACTATCTTTGTTTTTTTTCCTCATTTTAACTTTAAGGCATCCATCCGAAGTGATGTATACAACTGCTCTTTATGTATTAAATCAATTATTATGGCATTTACCAAATTATTCACGTCCAGAATTTCGACATTGTAATGGTCAACTAAATCTTATTTATTTACTTGAAGCAAATCGTTTGAATGATTCAAATTGGTTATTAATTTGTTTAGATACATTACGTATGGCAATTTATGAAAGTAGTGAAACAAAGGTAGATATCAATTATAGATTGCTATTATTATTGTCCTCTTTATAAGTAGTAGTAGTAGTATAGTGAACAAGAACATGAGTGTGGGGGGGGACAATCGAATGTATTTGAAGACGAAATTACAGAATATCTCATTAGAATCTAAGAATCATACAGTAAATACTTAGTCGGCAAAATATCAATCCATTGTCTCGAACTTGGCTGTTCCATTTGCAGACATCAGTTGATCGTCTCAGATTTTATTGTTCCTGCATTGTCATACCAATTGCCTTCCGTTTCCGTTCTTTCCTTCTCGATTTTCCATTGAAATACATTTTATTCGTGACCATCGTTAAATACTACTTATATGGATATAGAAGCCCACATAACATTAGAAGTATAGTTTACCTTTTATAGTTGAGTCATTTTGAATTACCATCAGTTGGATCCATTCAATGAATTTGTTCAATGAAAACTGTGTTTGATAACAATTCGAATGTATCAATCTTATCCATTTCAAAATAATTTCTATTTGTGAGATAATCCACTTTGTAGCATCAACAATTTCGTTGTTCTAAACAACTTTAAAACTTGTCGAAATTGTACTTTTAAGTTGACTTGTTTTATCGGTATAGGGTTGTGCAGATTACGACATTTTTGATTGAGATCATGAACCGGTTGATGTTAGACCACCATTGAAAACGTGGAAGCATTGAATGGTCGTTTCGTCCCATTGTGGTATTCTTCAGCAGTGTGCATTCACCATCCCGCCCACGGGATTCGAGCCCAGGGCCTTTAGTCTCACCAGATCAGTGGTCTAGTGGTTAAGTGCTCGTGCGCCAGACCAGTAGGCCCTAGGTTCGAATTACCCGGGTAGGATCGTGGATGTGCACTGCTGAAAAGTCCCACAATAGGACAAAACAGCCGTCCAGTGCTTCCAGGTTTTCTATAGTGGTCTAGCTTCAATTGACTCATGATCTCAACTATTAAAAAAAGAGCTTTTTAAATACCTTCATTGCAGTGTCCTCATTAGAAGCGCATTCAACAGGTTTCTCAGTTTTGTTTATCCGAATTTCACCAATAATTTTGTATCACTTTGAATAAACTATGTCAGTACAAATGTATGCTTAAAGGATTTTAGTCCACAGGCTACCTTAAACAAATCATTAAGTTTAAATAGAAGAGACTATGTTTACAAGATAGTGTTATATGCAACAAAAGGAACTTATAATTCATTGAATAGAAAATACAGACAATTTAGCAAAGAACATTCTCTCATTTCAACAATATTATTCACAGAAAGTTTTACAATTGTATCTATAGTGATTTAACGAATGAAGTACTTTTTAGGACGATGTAGAAAGTGAATTACATCATAAAACATTCCAAAATTTCTTGTGTTCAAAGAGAATGACCCGACAATCGATTAGTTAAAGGAAATTAATAGAGATGATCTGGCTCTTCTATCGCACACGCAACAACAAATGCAGGAGAAGACGACCAGTGTAGCAGCAGTAGGTCTCAACAAACACAAAGGGAATAGTAAGATTCTCCGATACAACACAACATGCAACAATCGAATCACACTTGACGGAGAAGATTTGGAAGATGTAAAAACCTTTACATATCTGGGCAGAATCATTGATGAACATGAAGTATCTGATGCAGATGTGAAGGCACGGATCGACAAAGTAAGAGCAGCATATCTACAACTGAAGAACATCTGGAACTCAAAACAACTGTCGACCAACACCAAGGTCAGAATTTTCAATACAAATTTAAAGTCAATTCTACTGTATGGGGTGGAAACTTGGAGAACTACGAAAGCCATCATCCAGAAAATACAAGTGTTTATTAACAGTTGTCTATGCAAAATACTTCTTTTCCGTCGGCCGGACACTATCAGCAACAAGCTACTATGGGAGAGAAAAGACCAGATTCCAGTGGAGGAGGAAATCAGGAAGAAGTGCTGGAAGGGGTAAAACACATATTGAGCAAGGCACCAAACTGCATCACAAGACAAGCCCTCATATGGAATCCCAAGGTCAAAGGAGAGAAGGACGACCAAAGAACACATTACGCTGAGAAATGGAGACAGACATGAGAAAAATGAACAGAAATTGGATAGAACTAGAAAGAAAGGCCCAGGACAGAGTGAGTTGGAGAATGCTGGTCTGCGGCCTATGCTCCATTGGGAGTAACAGGCGTAATTAAGGATATATATATATATATATATATATATATATATATATATATATCAAAAATAGTAATAAGTCAACTGACCAAATTGGAAGTTAAGGGTGATGCTAAAGTTGTAAAGATACAGAACTCCGGATAATAAATCACTGATGCCATGTTAAGTTCAGGGTGCTACCCAGAGTTTCCAACCATTTTCCGTTCACGTTTAGTTTGTGATAGCTGAATAGAAGAGTATCAATTTCCATTTGGGACTTTATTTTAATTATCTAAAGCTATCTGTAGGCCCACAGACAGTCATCATAAACATAGAGAATCTAGCATGAATGTGTATTACTTCCGTTATGATACTTAACTGTTTATATGTTCACTTCATTGAATCATAAAGTCATCGAGTCTACTAATTATGAGTTCGTTTTAAACCTATCAAATTACTACTGACCTTCGTTTTGACCAATAACATATTGACTACGAAATCTGACATTTTATTGAACCAATCAACTTTTACTATCCCCAACAGCCAATCAGAAGACAAACATATCAAGCTAACAGTGATTACATGATTACATAGTAACATAAAAAATAATTGTGATTTATACATTACCAAGTCATGAGTAGTATAAAACCGGTTACTAGGTGAATAATGATGAATTAGTGATAATCCATATCAATAATCAATAAGTTCAATGAAAGGTTAAAATTACAAATCAATTGATTAATAATTACACAAAGATTCTAGCACAATAGCATGGATTCATTTTATTTCATAGGTTCTCGTCAATTAGTGAAACAACTGAATACTCCAGATATGTGGACGACAATTTATTATCTGTAACAATAAACAGCATGCAATCCGCCTGCTGAAACTTTTCAATAACGCTCACACTAACATACATTTCACTATGGAGCACGAACAAAACAACATGTTCCACTTTCTTGATGTTACCATAAAACGCAGGGGAGATGGGACAGTCCAACGTTCAGTTTATAGAAAAAAGTAATTGGAATGGTCTCTACCTGAATTTCAATAGTTTTTTTCCAATAAGTTACAAGAATGCATTGGTTAAAACACTATTTTACAGGGTTGAAAATATATGTATTAACGACAAACTGGAAGAAGAATTAGTGAACGTAGAAAAATGTCTAAAAGACAACTTTTATCCACAAAAGTTTATTGACAAATATAAAAAGCCAAAGAAAACCAGATGGAAATAACTACGGTCAATAAAAAGCCAGTATATATAAATCTTAACTTTAAAGGTGATAACGTTGCACAACTAATTAATAGGAGACTGAACACTGCTCTAGCCAGAACTTATCGGGCTGCTAAAAATAGAAACCCATTATGTAATTATGATTTTTAAATATCACAAGTTGTATAGCAGCTGACGAGAACCTACGAAATAAAATGAATTCATGCTATTCTGCTCGAATGTTTGTTCTTGCTCTTTTCTAAATGATAAAGGGAACTATGTGTATGAAATAATCACACAGTAAAATGGGCTTTATAATTCATCATGTTATTGTTTGATAGTTTCATCTTCCTGAAACATTCACTCTAGTCTGACAAGTTCAACTTACTACATCACTTATGATCAATACAGGGATTGTTAAAGGAAAGTAAGACGATGATCAACAATTGAGAGAAAAAGAGAGAGAGAGAGTGGAGGGAGAGTAAAATCAACATCAAATATAATTATGAAAAGAAATGAATGCGATCAAATAGATCGAAAGTTTACATCGACATAACTCAGACCAACGGTCATTGATTTCATGAATTCATAACATGTTTTTGATTGATCAATTAGTAATGGCCAGTATCATATTTATATAATCTATTTTGGTGCTGATCAATTCTATTGATTAATTTACAATCCGGTCACTGGTCTAAGTGACTTGACATTGCACATTCTATAATGAGGTGTTAATTATTTGGAGATAACCCATAAGGAATTTGGTTTGACTTAAGTTCTGTGTTACCAAGTACTCTTCAACATAGTGTACCCACAACGTCAAGGGAACAGTCGCTCCCTAATGGATTTGAACTTACATTACTCAAGCCAACAGTGTGAGACGTTATCACTGGATTATTCAGGCAATGACTGACCTTCTGTAGGACTGAGATATTTACAATTGATTAATCACAGAGTACTAGTGGCCAAGATCATGTTTATCTATCTATTTATTATTATTAGTGGCTTTATTAAATATTATATTTTGGTAAAATATAGAATTCTCAGCACAAAGTATTTTAACAAGTTTCATTTTCTTATTTCTTGGTCGACCTTTGCGATAAATATTGGGTAGTCGCAAGTTAGATGTTAGCAGTCCAGGAATCGACATCTGGTTAATGTATATTCTTTTCGATGCATATTGCCAGCCACTACAAATGTCTCTCATTGAGCTCTTTGTAACTTGTACAGTGAAATATCGTAAACTTTTCACAAACCCACCTAAATAGGTTATGCGATTCATGGACATAATGATGTATTAGTTCTAGTGAGAAGCTGTTACCAGTGGAGTTCAACCAGGCCTGTTGTGAGATATCAGCTCACTGAAGACTATGGTATACGGTAGCGCAACTTCGTGGACTGGTTGAAGTTAGACATTAACACCATTGGATGCCGGATCAGTGGTGTAGTTGGTTAAGCGCCAGGAGCGAGACTGATAGGTCCTGGGTTCGAATCTCGGGGGGGGTGAGGGATCGTGGATGCGCACTGCTGAGGAGTCCATACTAAGACGAAACGGCCGTCCAGTGATTACAGGTTTTCCATGGTGGTCTAGTTTCAATTGACTCATGATTTCAATCTGTGAAATGATGTATTAAAACAAACATTTAAAAAAGACAGATAATTTATTGAAATATCTAGATGGCAAGGAACAGGTAGCCCCGATATTTAAGCAGGCCGCGTGGTCGTACTTTTTAATACTTATCAAATGTTGTCGATCATCAGTGATAAGTAGCATATAATTCAGTTTTAGGGTTTCTTGTTGACTTCCATTAACTACATAACACTATTTATGCTTATTTGATACTCTATTATTAGTAGTATTGTTGTTTTATATCTTATAGCTTTCTATTACATCAACTAATATCTATCAAATTATTGTACATCTTTTGAGAACATATCCAACTAATATGAAAATAGCTTATAATATAGCAAGATTAATCAAAGTTTTAAGTGTATGCAATGAAAATAAACTAAAATTAGTTGAAGCTGGCACTGTAGAAGTAAGTTTGCGTTTTACAAAATTGAAAAACAAACAATCATTATTACTATTCACAAGTATACAGTTTATTGAATGAATAGAGGGTTTATTGAATATTGAATGTTAAAATCGAAGAATATTTTAGTATTTATTTAATGTATATTGGTCACCGGCTACCATGGGACTGCATCTCCTCACGATGCTCCATTGCCTTGTGAGTCAGTCCTTTAGGTCCAAGGCTCGGGTGTGGCTCCCCAAGATAACCACCTGTTTCGGTCTGGGCATCCGGGCAGAACCCCAGCCCTTACAGAAATCGAATGATTTATGTGGCGCATATCTATTTGGTGCCTCCTTATACCAATCTTTATGTGTTTAAATAAATAGATAAAATACTATTTTGAGAATAGTGATAATCAATTTATGAATTATATTCTGGTACGGTCGATAGAGAGGAGAGTCCACTTATTCTTTCACGAAATGCTTTCATATAGCCTTGCGTATATAGCCACTATCAGGGAAAGCGTACTCACAGCCTTCTCGCACCAGGGATGGTGTTAACGAAGTTGAGAGGAATAAAATCGAATGTTCGGAGTTTTAACGGTGTTATTGGATACGGAGAGTCCACCTAGGGGAGTTGGAAAACCTTCATTCCGAATCAATGATGCATATGGGCTGCAGAAAGCTGAGAAAACAAAAGGCGTATTAGCCTATTGTCAGTGACCGGCTACTATGGAACTGAATCTCCTGACGTTGCTCCACTGTCTTGCGGATCAGACATTTAGGTCACAGGCTTCAGATGTGGGCCCCTAAGAAAACCACCTGTTTCGGTCTGGGCACCCGGACAGTATGACAGCCCATACACAAATCAACTGAATTGTGTGGCGCACGTTTATTCTGTGCCCCTTTGTACAAATATTTATTTGTTCAAATAAATAATAAATAAAATAACAGGTAGGTGTACCTTTAATCTTAAAGATACTGTACTGACTGGCGGATTCGACCCCATCTTACCCCAGCTTCACAGTGTGATACGTTAGCACTTAGCTATTCGGATCTCTATTGACCTCCTATACCTCATTTATAACATCTTCAACTATAAAGCTGGTTGATGTGAGTTTAGACCTACTAAGGACTATCAATTCTCTCAAAATTATAAGCACAATCTTCTGTTTTAGTTTTAGCATTCCCTATCGATTACTTTCAATCATCTTAACGCAATATACACGATCTCGAATCATTTAGACTCGTGTTCATCCTGTGATTTGATCGACAGAATTCATTCAAACCAAAAGGACTAAACAAACACTACATTGATCACTATTTAATGATTAATCAATTGTTGACATTGATATTGAAAGTGTGTCGTTAAGGGGAGAATACCTTCAATTCAATTCAATTCACAATTAAATCCTAATCTTTTCCCATTTCATTGTATTATTATTTTAAATTTTAGGCATTAACTCCATTATTAAATTGTACTAATGAAATATTACAATTAGAAACATTATGGGGATTACGTAATATTAGTGATCAAGCTTATCATTTATTGGCTACAAAAAATCTTATCCCAATATTGATTAATTTATTAGCTAGTAAAAATGAACATATCTCTATATGTTCCGCTGGTTGTTTATGTAATTTAACTTGTCAAAATGTACAAAATAAAAGTTTACTTGTTGAAAAAGGTAAAATCCGTTTTTTTGTTTTTTGTTTTTATTTTTATTGATTCCATTTCATACAAATCGAGTTCCTTTTCTAATCATTTTGAAAAGAGTAAGAACTAAAAGATTCCTCGCAGCAGACTAGCGTGCATTCATTTATATTTCGTCTGGTTCTCGTCAGTTGGTCAGTTGGCCCAAAAATACCTTGGTACGGTCGAGAGTGGGAAGAGTCCACTCTCCCTCTCAAAATGCTCTCACACGGCCACGCGTATATAGCCTCTGCCAGGGAAGTCATACTCACTGCCTTCTCACACCACGGGGGTGTTGTTTACGAAAATGAGAGGACGAAAAGCGAATGTCCGGCGCTTTAACCGGATCCCAAACCAAACCAATGGTGCACATGGGCCCCAGTATCCTGCGGGAACAAATGGCGTATGAACCAGTCGTTGGTCACTGGCTTCCATGGGACTGCATCTCCTTACGATGCTCCACTACCTTGCGGGTCAGACCTTTAGGTCAAAGACTCGGGATGTGACCCCCTAAGAAAACCACCTGTTTCGGTTTGGGTACCCGGGCGGTATCACAGCCCTCACACATATCAAATGAGATTTGTGTGGCGCATATGTATTTGGTGCCTCTTTGTACCAATATCTATGTGTCCTGCTGGGTGCGGGATCGTGGATGCGCACTGCTGAGGAGTCCCATACTAGGACGAAACGACCGTCCAGTGCTTCCAGGTTTTCCATGGTGTTCTAGCTTCAATTAACTCATGATCTCAACCAGTGAAATTTCTAAAAATCTCCACATAACCCATTCTGATAATAATAATCACCTGCTCACCAGTGACTGACTTCAGGAGACGCTCCTGGAGTCCTAGTGAGAAGTCATTACCAGTGGAGTTCAACCAGGTCTGTTGTGAGATAGGAACTCACTGAAGACAATGGTGTACGGTGGCGCAACTTCTTGGATTGGTTGAAGTTAGACATTAACACCGTTGGATGCCGGCTCAGTGGTCTAATGGTTAAGTGCTCGCGCGCGAAGCCAGTAGGTCCTGCTGGGTGCGGGATCGTGGATGCGCACTGCTGAGGAGTCCCACAATAGGACGAAACGGCCGTCCAGTGCTTTCAGGTTTTCCATGGTGGTCTAGCTTCAAGTGATTCATGATTTCAACTTGTGATAAATAAAAAAGTTGGTTACAACCTATGATAATTAAAAAAATCATCATTACAAAATTGGTTTAAATTACTTATATGAAAGGGTTTGATTGGAAGTTATATTGAAGACATATTCGTATAGTATAGCAAGGGTGTAAATAAATATAATAGACTGAATATAGTAAATATAACCTTTATGTAGAAGAATATTTTATAACATTGATTGTGACAGCAGTTGGAACAGCCAGAAACAAGTGATTACATAATGAGTAGGAATATAGTGAGGGAATATTTGTCACCAAGGTAAGGAAAGATTAATAACCGTCAGGTTTATGACGTCTGATGGCAACGGTTTTAGTAAACTTCAAAAGACTGGAGTTTGGCTGCTTACTAATCATCTTGAAGGATTGCAGTGTATATATTTACAATATTCAGTCTATTATATTTATTTACACCCTTGCTATACTATACGAATATGTCGTCAATATGAACTTCCAACCAAACCCTTTCATGTAAGTCATTTAAACGCATAATGTAATGATGATGTTTTTAAAGATCACAGATTGTAAACAACTGACGAGAACCAGACGAAATACAAATGAATTCATGCTATTCTGCTAGGAATCTTTTAATTCTCACTCTTTTCAAACTTATTCAATTGATTTACTTCTGGTAAAGTTATATAACAATAAAATGAAAATGATTTCTCTCTGTTACAATATGAAAAACGTTGCTATTCTACGACTTAAGTACGAGATTAGGCAATCACTAGACCTGGATACACTGAATACATAATTTTCGAATGAAAAATTGACAATCAGGAAAATAGTTTATTTAACACAATACAATCAGTCTGTACATAATGATAGAGAAATAACTTCAATATTAATGGTGTTTCATATTTGACATGGCTGAGTGATTTGTTTATTTAAACACATAAACATTGGTACAAGGAGGCATTAAATATATTTGCGTCAAAAATCATTTGATTTGTGTGAAGGCTGATATACTGCCCGAACGGCAAAACCTAAGCAAGTGCTTTTCTTATGGGGCCAAACTCTGAGCGTTTGATTCAGAGGTCTAGTCCACAGTGCAGTAGAGTAACGTCAGGAGGTACAGTCCCATGGTAGTCGGTGGCTAACAATACGTTTATACGCTTTTTGTTCTCTCAGGTTCTCGGAGCCCATGAGTACCACTGGTTTGGAATGAAGGTTTTCCAACTTCCCTAGGTGGATCCCCCATATCCAACAACCTGGTTTAGGCTTCGAACACTCGGTTTTCTCCCTCTCAATTTTGTGAACAACACGTCTGATGAGAGAAGGTAGATAATAAGATTTCCCTGACAGAGGCTGTATATGCGTGGGGATGTGAGAGTATATGAAGAGGGATAGATGACTCTCCGCAACCCCGGTTGTACCAGGGCATTTAGGGGTAACATGACATGTCATACAGATTAATATACGTTGCTTCTCAAACCGCACTCTAAATATGACCAGTCTAGTGTGTGATACTAACCCGCTGCTTAAACTAAATTAGGTAGGACAGATTTTGAACCTGAGACTTAGTAAATGAAAGTCGAGAGTCTCGATCACTAAGCAACTGTTGTACTTTATTTCCAACTACCATTTATTGTTTTCTTTCTATTAAATTGAAGATATACACCTTTTTATTGAATATTCAATACTCAATGAATAATCCATTAAAAGGCACTCTGCTCATAGTTATTCTTTATACCAATCAAAATACTAATGTTGTTATGATTATTATTGTTAATTACAAAATGGTAATAACAATCGAATTTTGTGCTATTGATTTATTTTAGTTCCATGAATGTCCTCAATGAGGTTGTAAATTAATCAGTTAGACAGTTGAATGTAAAAAAAATAAACTCTTAGGGGGTTATAATTTGATATTTCCCACTTATAGTTTCGAGTAATCTTTACCAATCCTTTATATCAGAAGGGGTTTTGTGGAGATTTTTGGAATTTCACTGATTGAAATCATGAGTCGATTGAAACTAGACCACTATGGAAAACCTGTAATCACTGGACGGCCGTTTCGTCCTATTGTGGGACTCCTCAGCAGTGCGCACTCATGATCCCGCACCCCCCCCGAGATTCGAACCCAGGACCAATCAGTCTCGCGCCAAGGGCTTAACCAACTAGACCACTGAGCAGGCATTCAACGGTGTTAATGTCTAACTTCAACCAATCCACGAAGTTGCGCCACCGTACACCATTGTCTTCAGTGAGTTGATATCTCATAACAGACCTAGTTGAACTTCACTGGTAACGGCTTCTCACTAGAACTCCAGGAGTATCTCTTGAAGTCAGTCACTAGTGAGCAGATGATTAATATCAGAAGGGGTTTTGTGGAGATTTTAGAAATTTCACTGGTTCCAGGTTTTCCATGGTGGTCTAGCTTCAATTGACTCATGATTTCAACCAGTGAAATCCTTTATATGACAGCATAATGTATAATGATCTGGATCAAGGCAATCTGTTGGAGATACCCAGAAAATTCATTGAAGAAAACCAAAAAGGACTCTGAAAATGCTGAGAAAATATCTTATCCAATCAGCATTCAATAGAAGTTTTATCAGAAACATTTAGAAAGTGAAAAGTCAAATGTCACATTTATGATTGGATAATTACCTATCCTACTATTATGTTTAGTAGCGTTCCAGAACTTTCCAGAAACCAAAGGCCATCTAAAATGCTATAAATACCCTAGATTTTTTTTTGTATACGAACGAACCTTTAGAGTAAAGCGTTCTTTCCATATTTTTCACCTTTTCCTGCGTGTTCAAGTTGCTGTGTAGATTTAGTGTACAGAACTTAATAAAACTAATCAAAGTTAAATTGGAAGATTTAACAAAGTTCTGTATTTCAATAGCTGATTTATACTGAAATTACCCAGTAATTATGTAGGGATAACTAATCAAATAGGTACGGTGTCTTTAATCCAAATTATTCACGTTAGTATTGACAGATTCCTGTATTATCATTATATTGTCCACATAAATCGTGAGATTTTACTCGGTTGATCTAAATGTGTTAAACAAACAACATATACTCATAGCTACATAGATATGTATATGATAAATGTGTTCAATTTAAGGGATAAATGAATCCTTATATATTTGAATGGACCTAGAATTTTCGACTGATCCACTGTACCAATAAACTATGGTTGAATTTCTCGTCCCTTTCACGAACTTCTCTTTACAGAGTTCACTTATAATCTCCCATGAAACTGAACTTATGATCTTCAAAGTCTCGCGATAAGCATTTTACATTGTAGTAAAAAAAACCCAACAGTCTACATTTTCGAATTTAGTCAATTCAGCATACATAAAGGAACTTTCATATAGTAATACTACTGCTACTATCAATGATAAGTAAATCATTTTCGATATAATTGAGAATAACCGTTACCGGTTTTTTCAATTGAACTTCAAAAAAGTTAAGAATTAGTTAGTTAGTAATGAGGAGAAAATAGTTGTTCTGTTAGATATTTTTCTATTGGTAGTTTTGCCCCTAAATGCTCTGGTACGGCCGAGAGTAGGAAGAGTCCGCTCTCCCTCTCCAAATGCTCTCACATGGCCACGCGTATATAGTCTTTGCCAGGGAAGTCCTACTCACTGCCTTCTCACACCACGGGGTGTTTACGAAAATGAGAGGACGAAAAGCGAATGTCCGGTGCTTTAACCAGATTCCAAACCAATGGTGCACATGGGCTCCAGTATCCTGCGGGAACAAATGGCGTATGAACCAATTGTTGGTCACTGGCTTCCATGTGACTGCATCTCCTTACGATGCTCCACTTCCTTGTGGGTTAGGCCTTTAGGTCAAAGACTCGGGGTGTGGCCTCCTAATAAAGCCACCTGTTTCGGTTTGGGCACCCAGGCACTATCACAGCCCTCACACAAAGTGTAGCGCATATATATTTGGTGCCCTCTTGTACCAATATTTATGTGTTCAAATAAATAAAAATAAATTGATTGTGTGAATCTTTTTATTGACTTTTAAGACTGCAATGGATCAGTATCTTATCAACAAGTATGTATCCTTTGCGGATTGTTTTTATATTACGTTAAGCTACAAACATTATAAGCAGAGATGGATTGTAGCTAGCAGTTGGACCTAGGACATACGTTTCGTCCTAGATAGATGGTTGATACGATGGTGTTTGAAGAGAACAGTACTAGGTTTGAGTCTCACTATGAACATCAACTCTGGGATTCAGTTACATCCAGCTAAAAAAAGGCGAGTCCCAAATAGGATGAAACGCGCATCCTTTATACTACTACTCAGATAGATAGTTTGTGAAGTTTTTGTTTTCTTTTTTTTCTTCTCTATAATGTCATTGGACTCGAGCTCAGTGGATTAGAGGCATCGTTTCTATTACAAGAACTTGGAGGTATTCAATTTTAGTCTGTATGAAACTATATATGCTTACTGTTGCAGTGTCCTATTCGTAATATAAACTATTCTGTGGTAACTATCTAGATTAAACTGTATACAGTCTTACTTTCTACACTACAATTTTCAATCTGAATTGTAGCAACTAATGACACGTTTTTATACCTTTTTTATTATTTATTCATCCAGGTGGTGTAAAAGTGCTCTGTAGACTTTTATGTTTAAATTCAGATCGTCAAGAGATTGCAGAACCAATTTGTTCAGCTTTAAGGCATGTAACTCATCGAAATCCTCATTCTAATTCAGCAATTTATGAGGTAAGTTCTTCCTGTTTCTTCTTTCTCCACGTTATAGTTAACGTTCAATATTCCTAATATATTCCGTATCTTTATTCATTGTCATATGGATGATATATCATTCTTTAAGAAGTCTCAGAATTTAATTCATTTTTGTTACTGGTTATTTGAATCTTTCTATTGATGTTTAAGACTGTAATTGATCAGTCTCTTATTAACATATCCGTTACGGGTTGCCTCGATGTTGCTTTAATTGACAAGTATTATAAACAGAGATGAATGATAGCTAGCATCGTAATCTAGAACGCACGTTTCGTCCTATTTGGTACTCATTTTTAATTGAATGTACCTGTATCCCAGAGTTGATGTTTACAGTGGAACTCGAACCCAGTGCCGTTCGTTCACTTACAATGTTATTGATTGATTAATATGAAACGATCAACTGATAAGTTCATATGTAATTAAATGAACTAACTTGTTATTCTTGTCAACGGTCAGTAAATGGAATATATGTGCCAAAAACTGAAGAATTGATTATTTTTTATATTAATTAACCGCTAAATATTAAATTATATCACGATTGTCTAGTCTTTAGTGCTGGTTTAAGTCTATCAAACAACTCTAAATAACTTTACATCACAGTCAATAGTAAGCCCTTTCATCAGACTTTGTCCAAGTTAGTTCTCATCAATAACATGAATCGATAATAAATTCACTTGGTATTGTTTACTTGAATCTTCCCATTGATGTTTGTGGATTAAAGCAATGTCGAGGCAATACGCACAGTATGATATGCCAATAAGAGACTGATCCGTTTCAGTCTTAAACATTAATGAGAAGATTCAAATAAACAATACCAATTGAATTTAAACTTCGCCCCATTGCAGAAGCAATTGGCTATCAGGACTAAGTAGCTAAGTGGATAACGCGATGGCGTTTGAAGCGAACGGTACTGGGTTGGAGTCCTGGAGTGAACATCACCTCTGCGATGTAGGTACATCCAGACGACGAGTTCGAAATAAGACGAAACACGCGTCCTGGACTACAGTGCTAGCTATTATCCATCTTTTCTTATGAATCGATAATCTTGCTGATGTTATTTTCGGGATTCAATATGTTACCATCTAGATTGATAGTCAGACGAGAAGTTACCAACTTAGACCAATCAGATTACATCTTGATATCAAGTCACTGATATTATTGATATTAATTACTAACCAATGATCATTTATTTGAAAAACAGAGTTGGGCACTGACTAGTAGTGGAATCCAGAACGGCGTTTCGTCCTAGTTGGGACTCGTTTTTTTTACTTGGAATGTACCTTCATCCCAAAGTTGATGATCTCTCCAGGATTATTATTACGATTGTTATTATTATGGTTTGTTTCTGCAGTTATTCCATTAAAAGCAAGTTTTTTTCCTCAGATGGAGAAATCTTTACAGAAGGTAGTTTTCTTTCAATCTCTGATCAATACATTTTGAAATACTGTGTGACCTACTTATATCCACATAAGTAGTATATAACGATGGTCACGAATAGAATGTATTTCAGTACAAGATCGAGAAGGAAAGGACGAGAACGGGAAGCAATTGGTATAAAAATCCAGGAACAATGAAATCTGAGACGATGAACTGATATTTACAAAGAGGACAGTCAAGTTTGAGACGATTGATTGATATTTTGCAAATTAACTATTTACTGTTTGGTTCTCAGATTTTAGTGAGATATTCTGTAATTTCGTGTTCAAATACATTCGATTGTCCCCCTCACACTCATGTTCTTGTTCACTACAGCACCACTGAGAACTATAGAGTGCTAAAGAAACAATCTATCTTCAAAGATATACGCCTCTTGACTATATAGCGCTTGAATCTTCAGTTAAAGCTCTATGCAAATCAGTCTACAAGACAGATGTTGTTAAACTCTGTTTATTTCCCTCTATTAAATTAGGTTCGTACCAGTGACACTTTGTCAACTATTGCTTCCTTATTCCTGAAATATCAATTTGTATCCGCCTTACCTTTATTGAAATCTGTTGTTGGTCTTATTCGAAATTTATCTACTGTGGAAGTGACACGTCATGAACTTAAGTGAGTTAGTTATGTTTAATTATCTCATTGTAAATAATCAGTGAATAGCTGAATGTTTAATCATGGAGAAAAATTTCAATCAAAGCTACTCATATCTTTATGTTCATAACGTAGGTCTTGAAGAAATTCTAATTTTGACCAATTTTATTCATCTGTAAACGATAACATCGTCGATTGGAGATTATTAGCAAACTACTATATAAGTATGAGTTTAAAAGGTTTGAATAGTCTATTTTCCTAGTTAGCGTTTTTTTTGGTTAGTTTTCTACGGGATGGGGTTGCTAACGCCATGCCTAACCCTCCTCCTTTATCCGGGCATGGGACCGGCAGTAGCCCCCGGAGGGACTCCAGGTGGAGTTAGTCAATATCATATGGAATTCCTATGATGGATTAAACTGCGAAGTTGTACATGGAGGACAACTGACAGACTCGTTCGAGGTAAAGACCGGTGTCAGGCAAGGTTGCTTACTCTCACCCTTTCTCTTTCTCCTGGTGATCGACTGGATCATGAAGACGTCAACATCTGAAGGGAAGCACGGAATACAATGGACATCTAGGATGCAGTTGGACGATCTAGACTTCGCAGATGATCTGGCCCTTCTATCTCAAACGCAACAACAAATGCTGGAGAAGACGCACAGTGTGGCAGCAGCCTCAGCAGCAGTAGGTCTCAATATACGCAAAGGGAAAAGCAGGATTCTCCCATACAACACAGAATGCACCAATCCAATCACAATTGACGGAGAAGATTTGGAAGATGTAAAAACCTTTACATATCTGGGCAGCATCATTGATGAACAGGGTGGATCTGATGCAGATGTGAAGGCACGGATCGGCAAAGCAAGAGCAGCATATTTACAACTGAGGAACATCTGGAACTCAAAACAACTGTCAACCAACACCAAGGTCAGGATTTTCAATACAAATGTCAAGACAGTTCTACTGTATGGGGCAGAAACCTGGAGAACTACAAAAGCCATCATCCAGAAAATACAGGTGTTTATTAACAGTTGTCTACGCAAAATACTTCAGATCCGTTGGCCAGACACTATTAGCAACAACCTACTGTGGGGGAGGACAAACTAGATTCCAGCGGAGGAAGAAATCAGGAAAAAGCGCTGGAAGAGGATAGGACACACATTGAGGAAAGCACCCAACTGCGCCACAAGACAAGCCCTCACATGGAATCCTCAAGGTCAAAGGAGAGAAGGACGACCAAAGAACACATTACGCCGGGAAATGGAAATAGACATGAGAAAAATGACTCCGCCTGTAGCTCTGATAGGGTTACTGCCGGTCCCAAGCCCGGGTAAAGGAGGAGGGTTGGGCATGGGGTTAGCGTCCCCATCCCGTAGAAAACTAACTCGCTAAAAAAACGCTTACCAGAAAAAATAATCCAAACCATTTAAACTCTGCCCTGGGAGTTAGAAGGTCTTCAGTTAGAAGAATTATGACGCTTCATGGTGAAAGCCGAGTTCCTTCGGAAGCCACGAGGCCGATGCCCCTTCTAACAACCAGAGCAAAAATTTTTATAGGTACATGGAACGTTCGAACAATGTGGGAAACCGGGAAGACCAGTCAAATAGCAATGGAAATGAGGAGATACAACTTAGCAGTACTGGGAATCAGCGAAACCCACTGGACCCAAGCTGGACAGAAAAGGCTAGCTACGGGAGAGATGCTGCTATACTCCGGTCACGAAGAGGACAATGCTCCACACACTCAGGGAGTCGCTCTTATGCTGTCCAAAGTAGCACGAAATGCACTTGTAGGATGGGAGTCTCACGGATCCAGAATCATCAAAGCATCATTCAAAACAAAGAAGGAGGGGATCTTAATGAATATTATCCAATGTTATGCACCCACCAATGATAGCAACGACGACATTAAAGATCAGTTCTACGAGCGGCTGCAGTCAATCATTGAGAAATGCCAAGAAAGGACCTAACTATTCTGATGGGAGATCTAAATGCCAAAGTCGGAATAGACAACACTGGATATGAAGATATTATGGGACGACATGGACTGGGAGAAAGAAACGAAAATGGAGAAAGATTTGCAAATCTATGTGCATTCAACAAATTGGTCATAGGAGGCACAATATTTCCACACAAGCGTATACACAAGGCTACATGGATCTCACCGGACCACACTACAGAGAACCAAATAGATCATATTTGCATCAACAAAAAATTCCGAAGGACAATGGAAGATGTGAGAACCAGGAGAGGTGCTGACGTAGCTTCAGATCACCACCTAGTTGTAGCCAATTTAAAACTGAAGCTAAAAAGAACTGGACAAGTGGACAAACAGCACTACAAAGGTTCAATACAGCCTTCCTTCGAGATACTGACAAACTCAATGAATTCAAGATAGCTCTCAACAACAGGTTCCAAGCCTTACAAGATCTACTGAAAGAAGAAGAAACTAGTATGGAGGACAACTGGAAAGGCATCAAGGAAGCATTAACTTCAACGTGTCAAGAGGTTCTGGGCCTAAAGAAACACCATCATAAGGAATGGATCTCTATAGAAACACTGGACAAGATCAAAGAAAGGAAGAACAAGAAGGCAGCAATTAACAACAGCCGAACACGAGCAGAGAAAGTCCAAGCACAAGCTGAATACATAGAAGCAAACAAACAAGTGAAGAGGAGCATTAGAGCCGACAAGAAGAAATACGTGGAAGAACTAGCAACGACGGCAGAAAAAGCTGCTAGAGAAGGAAATATGAAACAGCTTCACGATACAACGAAGAAACTAGCAGGGAAATACAGTAAACCAGAGAGGCCGGTCAAAGACAAAGAAGGCAAGCCAATCACCGAAATTCAACAACAGCGTAACAGATGGGTGGAATACTTCGAGGAACTCCTGAATAGGCCGGCTCCAATGAATCCACCGGACATCGAAGCAGCACACATAGATCTTCCTATAGATGTCAACCCACCAACGACGGAAGAAATTAGAATGGCCGTCAGACAAATCAAGAACGGGAAAGCAGCAGGACCCGACAACATACCAGCTGAAGCACTGAAATCAGACATCGAAGCAACCACAAGCATGCTATACCTTCTATTCAAAAAGATTTGGGAGGAGGAACAAGTGCCGATGGACTGGAAAGAAGGACACCTCGTCAAGATTCCAAAGAAAGGAGATCTGAGCAAATGTGAAAACTACAGAGGCATTACACTACTGTCAATACCAGGGAAAGTCTTCAACAGAGTGTTGCTGAACCGGATGAAGGATGCAGTAGACGCCCAACTTCGAGATCAACAAGCTGGATTCCGTAAGGATCGGTCGTGCACAGACCAAATTGCAACACTACGGATCATCGTCGAACAATCAGTTGAGTGGAACTCATCACTATACATCAACTTCATTGATTATGAAAAGGCATTCGACAGTGTAGATAGGAGGACATTATGGAAACTTCTTCGACACTACGGAGTTCCTGAGAAGATTGTCAACATTATCCGGAACTCATACGACGGACTACAGTGCAAAGTAGTGCATGGAGGACAGCTGACAGATGCATTCCAAGTAAGGACTGGAGTCAGACAAGGCTGTTTACTCTCTCCCTTCCTCTTTCTTCTGGTGGTCGACTGGATTATGAAGACCTCGACATCTGAAGGAAAACACGGAATACAATGGACAACTCAGAATCAATTAGACGATTTGGACTTCGCAGACGACCTAGCCCTCCTATCACGTACACACGAACAGATGCAGATGAAGACAGCCAGTGTAGCAGCAGTCTCTGCATCAGTAGGCCTCAGCATACACAAAGGGAAAACCAAGGTCCTCAAATTCAAGCGGAGAACAGCAATCCAATCACTCTTGATGGCGAAACTCTGGAAGATGTAGAGTCCTTCACATACCTAGGAAGCATCATCGATGAACAAGGAGGTTCAGATGCAGACGTAAAGGCGAGGATCGGCAAAGCAAGGGTCGCATTCCTACAATTGAAGAACATATGGAACTCAAAACAACTTTCAACCAATATCAAAGTGAGAATCTTCAATACGAACGTCAAGGCAGTTCTACTGTATGGAGCTGAAACTTGGAGAACTACAACAACCACCATCAAGAAAGTACAAGTATTTATAAATAGCTGCCTACGCAAGATACTCAACATCCACTGGCCGGATACCATCAGCAATAGCCTTCTGTGGGAGAGAACAAACCAACTTCCAGCTGAAGAAGAAATTAGGAAAAGACGATGGAAATGGATAGGACATACATTACGCAAATCGTCAAACTGCATCACGAGGCAAGCCCTAACTTGGAACCCTGAAGGGAAGCGAAAAAGAGGAAGGCCAAAGAACACATTGCGTCGGATATAGAAGCAGATATGAAAAGGATGAATTACAACTGGACGGAGCTGGAAAGGATTGCCCAGGACAGGGTTGGATGGAGAATGCTGGTGAGTGGCCTATGCTCCTTCACGAGGAGTAACAGGCGTAAGTAAGTAAGTAAGTAATGAGAAAAATGACCAAGAATTGGGGGAACTGGAAAAGAATGCCCAGGACTGCGTGGGTTGGAGAATGCTGGTCGGCGGCCTATGCTCCATTAGGAGTAACAGGCGTAAGTAAGCAAGTACTGTATAAGTATGAGGTTATTTGTAGAGATAAATGAATTATATAGTTTGACATTACGGTTCGATCTTAGTTGAACGGGCATCAAAAACGAGGAAAGACTGGATAGCTATTTCGTTCTAGTATAACATTCCTTAGTACTGCACGTTCACGACCACCACTGGGGATCTTATTCAGTACATTCAATTCTTATGAAGAATGATTAAATTATAGACCATTAAGTTGCCATCTAATGGTCTACATACTTAGAATGTAAACTACTAAATTTAAAAATCCTTATCAACCTCAGTACAAACCACCATGTAAACACTGGTAACTAATTTCAAGGGAAAATGAGAAACAGCGACCATCCGCTGATTCCATTAATATCGAATTTGAGGTACTTACTCATCGGTGACATTGAGAGATAGTTGCGCAATATCAAGAATTGGCTGAAGTTAGAAATATTAACCTTTAGACGCTAATTTAATGGTCTAAGCTTTCATCGGTGAACCTGAAGGTTGTAGATTCAATCCCTGATAGGGTCATAGATGGAAACCTCTGAAAAATCTCATACCAGGAGAAAACAGCTTTTTAACTTTCAACAGTTGTCTGACTAAAGTAAGTCTGTGATATAAAACTATAAAATGATTACTATGAATTGAACAGTCGCGTGTCGAGGAAAATATTTTTACTGGAGTCATGAGATGATCAATATCAGGTGACCATTGAAAGCCTGGAAGAACTGGATAGTTATTTCATCCTAGTATGGGACTTCTTAGCAGTACGTATCCACAACCCTACATGCTGAGATCGAACCCACGACCTTCGGTTTTGCACGCGAACGCCTAATCTTTGAACGACTGACTAGGCAGCCAACAGTGTTAATGTCTGACTTTAATCAATTCACAGTACTGCGTGACCATCTTCTACTGTCTCTGATCGGTAATTGCATCCCACTTAATACGGTTGAAATCCACTGGTGACTACTTCTCTCTAAAGCTCTGAGAATTATCTTTCGAAGCTAGTCACCAGTGAGCAAATGTTAATTATCAGTATACGGTTGTGGAGATTGTTGGCCTACACTGAAATCATGGATTGATTGAAGTTAGACATCAACACCGTTGATTATCATCTCAATCGTCCAGACGGTAGGCGTTCGCGTGCAAGATCGAAGGTCGGGGGTTCGATTCCAGCATACACGATCGTGGATGCATACTGCTAAGAAGTCCCATACTAGAATGAAATAACCATCCAGTTCTTCCAGGTTTCCAATGGTCATCTGATATTGATTGGTTGATGATTTCAATGAAATTCAACAATCTTCACAACATTTTACTGATAAAAATATTCATATTTTCTTTCATAACAGAGATTTAAATGTACCAGGAATGGTAGCAAATATTTTCTTACAAACATTTAATTCATTGAATAAAACCAATAGACAACAATATCATGGTATCACTGGAGAAGAATCGAATAATTATTTAGAAGGTGTAAATCTTGAAGATATGCTAGAATTAACATTGGCCGCATTACAGATTATGGCTAAAGATCAATCTATTCAAGAAGAATTTATTCATACAGCAGGTTTAGTTTCATCTGTTGTACAAGTAAGTTTATTATATCATTGATCTTGGTAAAAGGTATTCTAGTTGATTAATATTTTCAATATTTTGATTGAAAAATGCCCTGGTACGGCCGAGAGTGGGAAGAGTCCGCTCTCCCTCTCCAAATGCCCTCACATGGCCACGCGTATATAGTCTCTGCCAGGGAAGCCCTACTCATTGCCTTCTCGTGGCGGGGGTGTTTACGAAATTGAGAGAATGAAAAGCGAACGTCCAGGACTTTAACCGAGTTGGTGGACATGCAGAGTTCACCTAGGGGAGTTCGAAAACCCTAATTCCAAACTAATAATTTACATGAGTCCAGTATCCTTAAGGAACAAATGGCGTATGAACCAATCGTTGGTAACCGGCTACCATGTGACTGCATCTCCTTACGATGCCCCATTGCCTTGTGGATCAAACCTTTAGGTCGAAGGCACCGGGTGTGGCCCCCTAAGTAAACCACCTGCTTCTATTGGGCACCCGGTCAGTATCACAGCCCTTACACATATCAAGTGAGATTTGTGTGACGCATATGTATTTGGTACTTCCTTGTACCAATATCTTTGTGTTAAAATAAATTAGAATAAAATAAAACATTTTCTATCAGCTAGGCGTGTATATCTATAATTTTGAAGCAAATGGGATGCTAACTGGTAATCATTTGTGATAATCAAAAAGCCTATTTACTTAATTACGTCCGTCACCCCTCATCGGGGAGGATAGACCGCCCACTAGCATTCTCCATCTAATTCTGTCCTGGAGAATCCTTTCCAGTTATTTTCAGTTGCTACTTTTCCTATTCATGTCTGTTTCTATTTCCCGGCACAATGTGTTCCTTCGTTTTCCTCTGTCTTTTCCCTTCAGGATTCCAATAAGCACTTTCCTCGTGATGCAGTTTGATGATTTCCCCAATATGTGTCCCATCCACTTCCATCGTTTTTTCCTAATTTCCTCTTCAAATGGAAGCTGCTTTGTTCTCTCCCACAGTAGGCTGATGCTGATGGTATTTGAGTGACGTTCATTGATTATCGTTCGCAGACAATTGTTTATAAGTACTTGTACTTTATTGATGATGGTTGTAGTAGTACTCCAAGTTCCGTCTCTGCACAGTAGAACTGTGGTGATGTTCATATTGAAAATTCTCACTTTGAGATCGGTTGACTGATAGTTGTTTCGAGTGCTAAATTTTCTTCATTCGTAGAAATGCCACCCTCCCTTCACGTCTGTATCAAATCCTTTTTGTTTATCGATGATGCTCACCAGGTTCGTGAAAGCTTTAACGTCTTCCAGAGCTTCTCCTTCAAGCACGATTAGGTTAGTGTTCTCTGTGTTGTATTTGAGGATCTTGTTTTCCCCTTGTGTATGTCGAGGCCTAATGCTGCAGAGGTTGCTGCTACACTGAATGTCTTGACCCGTATTTGCAGGTGTGTATGAAATTGAATAGTTATATCATCTGCAAAGTTCAAATCGTCTAATCGCATTCAAGCTGTCCATAGCATTCTGTGCTTCCTCTGACATATGGAGGTCTTCATAATCCAGTTAAACACCATATGAAAGAGAAAGGAGGAGAGTAAGCATCTTTTTCTGACTCCGGTTCTCACTTGGAATGCGTCTGTCGAATTTTGTAACATATGTCCTATTCGCTTCCAACGTCTTTCCCTAGTTTCACTTTCAGCTGGAGGATGGTTTGTCCTCTCCCACAGTAGTTTGTTGCTGATATTATCTGATCCGAGCCACTCACTGTGTTTCGCGCTCCCATTGAGATGTAGAGGTCTTTATAATCCAGCCGACCACTAAAGGGAAGAGAATGGGCTAGAATAATCTACTTTGTCTGACACCGGTTTTCACTTGAAGTCTATTTGTAATACTGAGATCAAAAAGCGATTTACCGAGTAATTCATGACTTTCAATGCTTTTTCAGATATTTTCTATTCATAATCACCGACTAGTCAGTGATACCACTCTTTTCTAGTCCTTAATCCTTATCAACTTCCGACCGATAGATTTGCAACAGGACCACTGGTTTATGTGACATGACATTCAGTGCACTATGTCTTGACATCAGATAGCTGGAGGTAATGGAAAGAAAACCCTGGATTGTGGTTCCATGATATTCGGAACTTTTTAAAAGGTATGCCTGTAATCTTGAGGAAAGTACTGCTGTCTAGCGAATTCGATCCTATGTCATCTACTTTCCAAGTTATAGACATTAATACTGCTTTATTTAGGCCTCAACCAACGTCCTACCAGATCGAGATATTTACAACTAATTGATCACTGAATAGTGGTCGATTTCATGTTTGTCTAATCCTTTAGTACTGACCTCCTAACTTCTCAACATAGTGCATATAATATCTAATCACGTAAACTAGTATTTCATATTGCAATTAGATCAACAAATGTAAGATTTAAATAGTTAGTCATGAAATTGGGTTACATCTAGTTTAATTTATTTTTTTATTATTTAGTTAGTATATTCTCCATCTGTATGTTTACAACGTGCTTCAACTGCTTTCTTAAGTCAGTTGTCAACATCTCGTTCTGGATGTCAAGCAATTGAAAATGAAGGAGCTTGTCCACGATTTACTGAACTAATTCAGTCGAATAATGAATATATTGGTAAGTGACCAAAATAAAATTTTATTCTCGCCACATAAATCATTCGACTTGTGTGAGGGCTGTGATATTGCCCGGGTGCCCAAACCGAAGCAAGTGGTTTTCTTAGGTGGTCACATGTGGAACCTTCTAACTAAAGGTCTGATCCACATGGCAGTGGAGCAGCGTAAGGAGATGCAGTCACATGGTAGCCGGTCACCAACGATTGGTTCATACGCCATTTGTTCCGTCGGGATCCTGGAACCCATGTGCACCACTGGTTTGGATCAGGGTTTTTCAACTCCCTTAGGTCAATCCTCAATATCCACCAACCAATTTAAAACGCCAGACATTCGCTTTTTGTCCTCTCAATTTCGTAGACAACAGTAATGCCGCGAGAAGGCAGTGGGTAGGACTTCCCTGGCAGTGGTTGTATGCACGTGGTCATGTGAAAGCATTTGGTGAGGGAGAAAGTGCTCTCCCCACTCTCGGCCATACCAGGGCATTTGAGGGCCATTGATATTTATTTTCAGTTTACTATTGTAGTGGGTGTAATTCAGTGTGTAATGCATTAATATTTGTAGTGAATGGTACTGAGTTTGACTCGCAATGAAGATATCAACATCAGAATGAAGGTATATCCAGTTGATGAGTACCAGTGGACGAAACATGCGAGCTTAATACCACTGTTAGCCACTACTCAACTTCATTACATTTTGATATATAGTTTATATTTGATTAAAATCAATTATATTCCTCTCTTTTTAGCTGCATATACTGCAGCAATCTTACATCGTATTGCTCAAGATAAACCTGAAGCTTATAGACGTCGATTATCATTGGAATTACGTCAATCACTTTTTGATGGTGGACTACTCAATGATCCAAATGAAATAGATCCATATAAGTCAAGTCCATCAAACTGATTGATGGTATATCACCAAATGATAATTCACCTCATATTACTGATCGAAGATCAAGAAATTTATCTGATTCAAGTTTAAGACAACGTTCAAAATAGAATAATGAATCACTTTTAATTGTAGTGAGTTGAATTTTATCAAACATTTTCATCATGATACTTGATATCATATAGAATGAATTCATATTATGTTTTTGTTCATGGAAGGGGACATGAGGATTGTCAGATTCAAAGCTTTATACTAGCTTATAATCATGGTTCTTAGTAGTGACTAACTACAAGAGGTAATTCACAGAGTTAAATGTGTGGTGATTAGCTTCCATCAACAATATGAAGACGGTTGCACAATAACAAGGATTGATTAAAATTACAAATGTAAACCATTGGTTATCAGCCCATTGGTACAAAGGTTAACTGTTCGCTGTAAAACCTAAAGGTCCTAGATTCGATCTTCAATACAGTAGTGTATGGATACTGTTAAAGATTCGGATAATACGATGAAACAATTGTCTAGTACTTCTTAGATTTCAATAGTCTTTTTATTATCTGAAGTCAGTCGATAATATGCACTTCCAAAAGCATATGATCTTCTCCAGAAATACTTTAAATATAAAATCTGTATGTTAATGTAGATTTGTAGTGAAAAACAACAAGCTGAGGATAAAATCCACTTTATCAATTCATCTAAGTGTATAACATTCAGTCTATTCAGTCACTTAATTGTAGAATATTTATTTAAACATAAATATTAGTACAAGGAGACACCGAATAGATATGCGCCACATAAGTCATTCGATTTGTGTAAGAGCTAGGATGGTTTTCTTAGGGGGCCACACCCGGAACCTTCGACTTAAATGTCTGATCCACAAGGCAGTGGAGCAACGTATAGAGAACAGTCCCATAGTAGCCGGTCACCAACGATTGGTTCATACTCCATTTGTTCCTTCAGAATACTAGAGCCCATGTTTACTATTGCTTTGGAATCAGGATTTCCCAACTCTCCTAGATGGATCCTCCGTATCCACCAACCCATCTAAAATGCCGGACATTCCATTTTGTCCGCTCAATTTTGTGACTAACACCTATAGTGCGAGAAGGCGGTGAATAGGACTTCACTAGCATGAGTAGTTGTATGCACGTGGCCATGCGAGGGCATTTCGAGAGAGGGGGCTGACTCTCCCTACTGTCGGCCGTACCAGGGCATTCGGGGATTAGATATTTTGAAATAACACCTATCACAGAATTAATTGAGAGTATGACTTTTATTATGACTGACTACCCTACACTTGACACGTCTATAATATGATGAAGTGGTATTTTCGTTATACATTTTTCATGTAAGCCAGCAAAAATGACAGTGAACGAAGCACATACTTACACACACACACACCCATCATGGATTACAATCGTGTAGATAGTAAATCCTGTTTCATTTCAGTTGGTTACTAGATGTAAGATCAATATTGCGAACGAAAGTGGAGTTTTCTCCCCCACTTGCTTTACTGAATTCTTCTATTATTTTTTTCTCTTGTATATTTTAGAGAACTATAAACCGATACAATCTCAGGAACTCAGTTCAATATCATTAACTAACTTACATCATTTTTTGTTTGTAATATATATATCGATTTAATTTTAATTTGCTATATCTAATTGAGACGATAATTAACTTATTCACTCTTTCGTTTTTGTTTTTTTTGGAATCATTTCCAAATCGGTCGTTACCTTTATCCTCATTAAGTATCGATCATTCAGGGGAATTCCGAAAATTGTTTTCGTATGATGTTACTTTGAAATTTCCTTCTGAGAAAAATAACCATCCAAGTTATATCGACAATAACGAACCCAGAATATAAACTGACATATATGTGTATATCGATTCAAATGTCACAGTGGATTAACATAGCGAGATACAACAGTTTGGGAAAATCTGACAGAAGTAGATGTAGTAAGAATATTACTTGCTTACTTAGTTACACCTGTTATCCCCTAATGGAGGAGCATAGACCATCCATTGACATTCCCCATCAAACTCAGTCTTATGCGATCCTTTCCAATTTCTATTCATCCTTTTCATGTCCGCTTTCAATTCTCAGCGCCATTTATTCTTTGGCTTTCCTCTTTTTTGTTTCCTTTCAGGATTCCAAGTTAGCGCTTGCCTTGTGATACAGTTTGATGATTTCGAAATGTGTGTCCTATCCAATTCCAGCATTTTTTATTAATCTCCTCCTTAGTTGGAAACTGGTTTGTTCTCTCTCATAGAAGTAGTAATAATGTTAGTGGTGATATAACAGATGAATTTAAGTACTTTTCTCTTCCCACGCTATTAAAAAAATATGATAATAAGACTACATTGTGTGACCGAGTTTATACTATCGTTAGATTGAATACTCGAAGGGGCACCCTATACAGATACTAGACAACGTTATATCATATATCCGATTCACCGCCAATAATAGAGAACCAATGTAACGCTAGACGATACTTTATTTCAAACAATTACAGATGGTCACTTCCAATGAGTTCGGAGTAGAAATCAATAATAGAAAGGAAATCACATATTCAAATAATCAGTAATCGGAGTTTCTGTACCTTCACACCTAGGGATAAATCACTTTTACTCTCATTACTACACACCAAGTTAAATAAAAATAAACAAACTCATGGATCATGTAATACATTAAAAAAAAAACGATACTCGACTCGTTTCAGGTAGAATTGACTATCGCTTTTGAAAGATGAATAAAATTAGATTCCCTCTCAAATAGCTTCTTTACAAAAAACACTCTATAACGGATAGGTGAAATCCTGATAACAATCACCGGTCCACTGAAATATGATCTGTCCTTCTAGGCCTCTTTAATTATTTGAACACATAAATATTGGAGCAACGAGGCAGCAAATGGATATTCGCCACACAAGTGATTTGATATGCATGAGGAGTGTGGTACTGCCCGGGCTCCCAAACCGAGGGCCACACCCGGAGTTTCTGACCTGGAGGTTAATCCACAAGGCAGTGCAGCAACAAAAGGAGATGCGGTCCCATGGTAGCCGGTCACCAACGATTGGTTTATACTCCTTTTTTTCCTTCCGGATCCTGGAGCCCATGAGCACCATTGGTTTGGAATGAGCGTTTTCCAACTTCCCTAGGTGGATCCTCGATATCTACCAACCCGTTTAAAGCGCCGGACATTCGCTTTTCATCCTCTCAATTTCCTAAACAACAGTAATTCCGCGAGAAGGTAGTGAGTAGGACTTCCTTGACAGAGGCTGCATAGGTGTGGTCATGTGAGAGCATATGGTGAGGGAGAGAATGCTCTCCTCACCCTCGGTCGAACTAGGGCATTTGGGGGACTCTTTCAAGCCTGACAGTACTTATAGACAAAACATATGTTCTGATATTGATGGTGTAGAGAGTCCTAAACTAATTGAAGTAACAAACACTTCAGTGTGTAATTCTAAGGCTTTCAGATAGTGATTTTCATTTTGTTTTTGTTTTTAAGAAAGTACCAACATATTATAGTTAATAGTTAATGAAATTTCACTATTCACACCACGATAATTTACATCTTTTAAAAAGACACATTCCCTTCTAGCTAACTTCATTTAAAAAACCCTATAAGTTCTATGCGCTTTATCAAAAGTTGTTTGTCTGACAACGGAAACATCAATGTCAACTTGTACTGTTAAACAATTATAATGGGCATCAATAAGCTTCATTTACAGGACATGAAATACAGCTGGGTTGATAAAATATATATTGTAAAGTATTAGAAAGGGAGTTTACATTCGATGAGGAATTAAATCGTGACAAATCAAGTTCATTGGGGGGTTTTCTTTTGATCGTATAAGACCCAAACTATAATTCCGAGTTATTCTTTAAGTACTATGTAAGTATGGAAAATCAATTGACGAGGTAGTGGATATTTATGTATGTACTAGGTGTACCCATTTACCGACCACCTTAGCAGGCGACTGATGTGAACAGAGAAAGAAAAACCCTTGACATACTACTAAAGATATTTTTCGGGACTTCATTTAATTCAGAGATTGGAAAACAGTAACATTTATATTTGCCCCTAATCTATTCTTAAGATCATAAGCTTTCGTTTGGTGTAGGATTCACTGCCATACTTTTTTTGTTCCAAAGCTATTGTAATTTAAACGTATTATTTTGTACTCAACTTCCCAAATTCGGACATAATTGTATTTTCCGAAATACTGTACGTTGTGGTCAGGTCAGTTATCTATTTATTCATGTACTCTTTTACACCAATCTGAAATCGGGAATAAGTTGAGTAGTGTTCCAGTTGTCTTGTCTTCTCTCACTTGTTTGCCTGTCAGCCAATCAGGTGATAGAATAGTTTTCTTCTCTATACCCCACTTCGAACTCATGCGTACTAGTCTCAAGGTTAAGCCGGTCAGTCTACCTCGTGGTCTTAATCTAGATTAGACAGGTTATCCTCAGCACCAAGAGTGGGTAGACAAATCAGGACGTAACAGCGACGATGGTCGGTGTAGTAGATTTTTAAAAAGCTATGGTGGGCAAAGTTCAGATATGGCATCAGTTCATTGACTTTAAGACCCAGCAATGTAGGTAGGTACACATTACCTGGTTAGGGTTATGTGATTATCGTAACTAATGGTTAAAGACTAAATGATGTGGTTTAAATTGTTTTCAATAGTGCAAGTGTATTCACTACATATAACTTTAGATCCTAAAGCTTCAAAATTCCTTATTTTACTAATATACATTTTCTTGGATCTTACTTTGGATGCTTAATCGTTCCAAATACCATCAACCCTGTTGTGTTTCACTACCTAACTAGCCAATATAGTATATATTTCTTAATCTGTGGATTATCATCAGTTATTAAGTGTTAGTGAAATCTGTTATTAGCATGACAAAGTCCTGACTATTGAATACTTAAGTTAGGATCAGACGGGAGTACGCTGATTGTTCCACTTTTAACTTGTCAGCGTTATCGTGAATATAAAGAGGATACTCGAAGATTCCTATAAAAATTTAAATAAACTCTTTGTTGTTCAGTCAGTCAGCTACAACGTAGGACCAGGCACATATGTGCATCGGTCCAGGTTGCCATACCGCATCAGCACAACAAGATGAACACCGGATTCATACCAGTGGTTATGTCAAAGGTGGTAATATATAAGAGAAAGATTGCATATAGAGATATAATACAAGAAAGAATTGGTTCGTAGAAAGAAAGATATGAAGCGATTTTAATCTCTTAGTTTAAGGGAAACAGGGAGTGTATACACCGACGCCATTGTGATCGATTCTGAGCCATGTCACCAAGAGTCTCCAACCATTGGTTACGGTAGTCACGTGGACCCCAACCAAGTAGTCTGCATCTACCAACATGGCTCAGACTACAAGTTAGTGACTTCAAGCACTGATGTTGTTCAGACTACTGGAATATTTGTTCGCTTCCATAGCTTGTTCTGATTTATGAATTGTCAAGTGTATTACAATATACAAGGAATAATAAACAGTACAAGGTCATAATGAAGTATAGTGAAGGCAATTATTTGATACCTTGGCCGATGGCTTAGGTTCTCAGCTATATTAACTAAGACATTGTCATTCTCTTATAATATTTTTCTTCTGTATATTGAATGGTTTGAATGTAGGAAAATATGACTATTGTTCTGAGGAATCATAAATGATAACAACAGACTTTCATCATTTTCCTTCAGTGCTAAAACATCTGTACCGATAAATATCACGATTGTCTAGTCTTTTGTTTTATGTTGACTGAGTTCTGTTGAGCAAGTAACAATGTGACCATTAGTCGAAATGAATCAACATCAAATGTACCATCTTAAGATGTTAGATAATTGAGGATAATCAACAAGAAACTCTGGCATGTTTTAGGTCTCATGTTAATTGGCCCTCGTCTGTATTCTCGAGTGAACTGATACACCATGGTGGAATTCAAACTCGAGTCATTCAGTTTCACAATCTGAGACGTCACTACCAATGGTCTAATCGGATCGTGAATAACCTGTGATTTAACAAATGATTGGCCAGTGAAATAGTGAAACTTGATTTACCGGAATATAAGAACAACTGTACACATATATTTACATCGTTTTATTTTTGTAGTAAACAAATTATTTACATATAAAATGATAGTTCACTGTTTTCGCATAAGTTGGTGTAATAGTTGATCAGGTGGTGGAGCTGTATAAATAGGATATTCACTTATTTGTTTCAAAGTATTTTCCAATTGAATATCAGAATTTAATTTTCGTTTATTTGCTCGTATATGATTGTCGAATTTCACAGGAGCTGCTGTATCAACCAATTGTAGTAAGCTTCGTTGTTTCGGTGATATATTTAACCCTGTAGTCTCCATCTGTAAAAGTATGGGTTGAATGAGAAATGATGTTTAATGAAGGAAAATAGTAAATTTATACAATAGTCAATATACACTCATTGATACGATGTAGATCATCCTTAGTGTTGTTAGAAGTATGAGGGCGGTTATCACTTCTCGGTTGCCTACATCGTGGAAGGGTTCTTCTGGAGGTACCTGAAAAGGAGATTGGACTAGAGGTTGTCTTAATGACCTAAGAGCGTGACCGGAGTGACCAAGAGACAATTTTCGTGTTAGCTCTATAGCTGTCGAAACCTTACCGCCGGAGACGGATATCCATGGGATAAGGCGAGGTGTGCATGTTAATTCTTTCTACAAGGGACAACCTTCTTAACGACACTTTCCCAAATCATATTAACGCAATAAAATATGCTGCTACCTGATTGATTGTCAACACCTTTGGTTTGCTAACCTTGTTGTGTGTTACAAGGTCACCGGGTGTAATTGCATAAACAGAGTATTTCTATTTAATTTTTCGACCTCTGCTTCGAATATTAAGCTATCCTGAACATCCTGTATTCTCTACCTCTTATGAGGATGTAGATTATTCACGCTGAAGTATTGTTGTATGTGAAAGATGTCTATTCTATTCAGGTTCCTATTCGCTTATGTTCGTAATGGAATAATCCCAATTACGCAGTTAGTGATTACCATAAACCCATACCAATCCCAATAAACGTGAGATTTACCGTTTTCAACCTATAACATGTATTAAGTCAAATTTAATACTGTTTTGTAATAATTTTGGATTTATAACTGTAGAGTTTGCAGAAGAAATTATCATAAACTATGATTCGCTTTATACTCTTCGTTCTCATGAGAAGGTATGTATAAAGGAAGAGTGGAACTTGACATCTACAGAAAGATTAGAACTAGAGGCTGAATCTGCAATGTTACATAACCATTCCAAACAACGATCGCAGAAATTAAGAAGACCGTAACCAGGTAGTGTGCATTTACCGACAAGACTGAGATCAACAGTTCTTGATAATGGGACATTTAAGTTCGGCTGCTCCATCTTTCTTCTAGCCTACTCTAACAGCAATTAACACCGGACGTCGATGTAGGCAACAGTGAAGCATTCGCAACACATACCTCAATTAATGAAGACTTACAACCTCATTAAACAAGTTGTTTATTTTGCCTTGTTACTTAACTACTTACGCCTGTTACCTCTCACAGAGGAGCAAAGGCGGCCCATTAACATTTTCCATCCAACTCTGTCCTATCCAATCCTTTACAATTGGCAATTATTCTTTTGATATCTACTTTCATTTCCCTACAAGATGTGTTTCCTGGTCTTCCTCTTTACTTTTCCTTGCCTTGTGATAAAGTTTGATGACTTCCTCAATGTGTGTCCTATTCACTTTCAACGCCTTTCTCTAATTTCCTCTTGAAAGTGGAAGTTGGTTTGTACTCTCTCTTACAATAGTCTGTTTCTAATGGTATCCGGTCAACGAACTTTGAGTATCTTACATAGACAATTGTCCATAAATAAATACTTTTTTTGATGATGGCTGTGGTAGTTCTCCAAGTCTCAGCTACGTGTAGTAGAACTGTGTTGACGTTCGTATTGAAGATTCTAACTTTAATATTGGTTGGCAGACAGTTGTTTTGAGTTCCATATGTTCTTCAACTGTAGGAATGTGGTCTTTGCTTTGCCAATCCTTACTTTACATCTAGATCAATCCTCCTTGTTTGTCGATGATACTGACAGGCACGTGGAATTCCCGCATCTTCCATAGCTTCTCTATCAAGTGTGATTAGGTTAGCGTTCTCAATGTAATATTTCAGGACTCTGCTTTTCCCCTTGTGTATGTTGACGTCTATTGTTTCAGAGGCTGTTGTTGCTACTCTTACAGATCAAGTTTCACACCCATCCATCACGTAATACAGAGTCGACTGCTATGCATCATAATCGTTCTTCAAATCATAGATAAACATCGTTATTAGGATGAATAACGAATTTCCTCTGCTTAGATAAAAGGAAACCTAACCATCACATTACAAATAGACTTACAGGCTTTTCTGTATTTGTTTACGTGTTCCATAATAAACTAAATCATATCGTCCTGTCTCTCTTCCAATTAATGTTTTCATTAATCCTATCAATTGAACATGATTATGATTATCATTGATTGATTTTATCATTGTATCATTATTCAATGGAATAAAACAAAGTGATACAAACATTGTTCCATTTGATTGTTTATGTTTATTCTTTACTCCACTTTACGTGTTCGATCGCATAATGGTTGAGAAACAAGATTTCCCAATGATGTATGATATTCAATTTTATATTTGAATTCAATTGAACTTCATAAATGGTAACTAGAATGAAGAAAGGAAGAAGTTAATTGATTGAAAGTGATCCTAAACAATCGATGAAACCAGAATAGACGACATAAAAAAATGATCTATATTATTATTAATAACGAGTTGAGTTATTCAACTCTTGATCCTCAACTATTGAAATTTGATGGGCTATGTTTTATTCTGAATGTGAATCCTGAGTGGATTGCCTTGATATTAGCTATTCTGTCACAAGTTTCACCTTAAAAAAAGATGAGTTATAACTAGCAGTGAAGTGTAGGATATGAGTTTCATCCTATTCGAGAATCGTCAACTGGACAAATCTCTCTCGGTGTGCATTTTTCATATCGGAACCTGAAGTCAGTATCATTCGCCTTATAAATGCTCGACGCTTTATCTGCTGAGTCACTGACTTCTAGTTTCAATGAAAAGATCAACACTGGAATGCAAATAAATCCAAATGTCAAGTCACATACACGACGAAAACCAAGTCTCGAACTTTAGTCATAACAACAATTTGTCTACTTCTAAACAGTAGTAGCCTATCTCCATATTCGTTATTTATAATCTTCCTAGCAAATGTTCTCAATATACAATCCTATGAAGTCAGCATATAGCATTTATAAGTTAAAACGCTGATTAACGGATTCCATAATTACGTAACCTAACAGTGGGAGCAATATAAAGAATTCTTAATTCACAACACGATAACAACTTCATCATACAACGCTAATGTGAAATTTGGATAAATCATATATGTTGGTGAACATAAACATAACTCTTACCATTCGGTTTATTCCTGAGTATCAGTTCGTACTGGTGAACTACCTATAACACAAGTTAGATAGCTCGTCCAACTAATTCAAGTCTCAGGTGAGAAGCTATTACAAGTTAAGTGATTCAAAGAGTCGACGTTTCAGTATATTTGAAATCAGTGGCTAGTGACTTTGTGTGACATCCTTCAGAATCGATCACAATGACACATTCGTCCACACTTTATCTTGTTCTAGATGTAGAATTGCAGTGTGCTTTCATTTATCCCATTTCTAACTTATATTTCTGAGCTATATTGAAGTCTAGATAACCTCGGAATGCGACTATACTGCCCAAGGAACGACTGCTTGACATGAGTTACAAACTGTCATTTTGTAAACAGTGTTAGATAAATTAGCTTCCCACTTCAAAACTACAACCGGTTACGGAAATCTGTGGGATGAGATGAAGTGTACTATTTTCAGTCCCCAACTTCTCTAAACCCATCCTTATGTAATGAGAACCAGCATCACAACACATGTTGGTTGTTTGAGGAAAACAACTTACTAGCACTACACTCTTGTGCAGTCAGCAGAATCACTACACCCTCGAATCATGATTCTCCTATTTTCGTTTCGTCACTACTCAACGGACATGGACATGGTCAATACGATAAAACCTGGAGGAACGAGTGTTCCGACCAATGTGCATAAACTCAGCCATAACGACAGACCAGTTCAACCAACAACTACTAAAAACACATTTTAACCGACGTTGTGGTAACTTTCCTAAAGGTAACCTCAAAACTACGAACGGATGATTTCAGCAAGTACTTTACTGCATAAAACAGCATTACGAAATTAATATGAAATCGTTTTTATTTACAACACAAACCAACCTGTTCCATCCTTCAATCCCACAGCTAACCAAGGTTTGCTCGGATGTGAAGTTAAACACGTCGCTAGTACATCTGGAACAACTGACATCATTTCAACACTGGAAGGTGTACATTTTAGCAGGCACAAACCTCCAATTGAAGTACGCTCACTCACTGATCTAGGAGCATGACCACGAATCGTGATAGCCAGGTAACGTGTAACATTATCATCGTCATTATCCGTATAAGAGACAATAACACATTTATCAATATTATTCTTCTTTGAATCTGGCCACAGATTCAATAGATTATCTCGTAGACAAATGCTGGCAGCAACTTTTGGATTGCCTGAAAACGAGAATGATTTGAACAGAACATTAATCAATCTAAACTAAACAGATGAATTATTAAAGGAATGTTAGATTAATGGATAGCTAGCTAACCACCCACCCAAACCTGGAAATGTTGTGCAATACATCCAATAATTGTGGCAGATTAGTTGAATGTTAGGCATGAAGATCAAATCAAAACGTCCCGTTAGTCTATGAAATCATTATCCATTGAAGTTCAAGTAATAATCACAAACGATAATAGGGACGCTGAGTGAAATGGGTCAGAATCAGTCACAATGATGTGGATCTATCCACTCTTTATCCTCCTCTACATCTCCGGTTGTAGTATTCATCCACACCTACAGCTTTCCTATCTTCTTTAGTATATCCTCAGTGTTCAATCTTGACAATTAACATCGTCACTACATTGTTTCGATTCCTTTTTTATCTATCTGTTAATTTAGTTGCGTCATGCCACTGTGGTATGGCAACTTGAGTTAGTAAACATGTGTACCAGGATCTACATTGATCATGATTGACTAAATGATACACACATGATTGCGATCAATGTGTCTTTTGGAACAAACAACTGCCACTATCCACTGTCTAAGGAGCTGCAATCGGTTAGATTAGTTTACTTATCAACTATAATGTTCAGTAAGAAGAGTGCAAAATAAATGGAGAAGTGAAGAAATACTTTCGTTAACACAAACATAGTCCAACTGACTGTTCCTCACCGTTTTGTATTCCGTTCTGGTATATAATCAAATCACTCTTTCAAAAAACATTGGTGATTGGAAATATTAAACAGGCGATATGATACAGCATACAAACATACAACCATGTCAGGGTTACAACAACAGCACGGGCGCTTATTTGGTGACACTAAGTCACAGGTTCGAAACCCACTACATCCACTTCGGTTTAGGTAAACGGGTAGTAGTATCGCTTAATCAAAGGTGAATACATCAATATGTACTTGACAAATGAGTTAATAATGATTATACCACAACAGGGTAATATGAACTTACTTTCGAGTAAAATTTGATTCCAGTTCAAAAGAGTCAGATTAAGACCAGAATACACTAAAAAACTTGTCGATGTACTGAATTGATTTACATTAGATTGTACATTGAAGGGAATAATTAGAGAGCCAGGTGGTAGGATCGAAGAGTTTTGATTACAATACGATAAAAGATGACATGAAGCTGGAATCCATGGGGAGTATATGGGATCTTTCGCTGTAAAAGTAAAAAACGTTAATGTTTCGGCTTCTTAACATATCAAGTCGAGTGAAACGTAATTGATCTAAAAAAGCGTAGTTTACAGTCTTGTTGTCCCTAATCTGGAAGTGAATAGCTGAAACCTGTAGACAAACCAAGATATGGAATCAGCCCATAAAATGATTAACCATAGAACTGAGTCATGTTGTTAGGTACAAGTTACCTGGTTTACATTCTTGTAATTATTATAGTTGGAAAACAAGACTCAGACTTGGTTGAGGTGTATCCACTGTTTTATGTTTCCGAAGTTTATTAATGATCTTATAAAATAAAGAAACATAAGTTCATACTTTCTTATTGAATAGTATCCTTCATATCTAATCTTTTCTACTACTAATAACACTCTAACTACTCTAAAATTTTCTATGGTAATCTCATCTCGTTGTGTGAATATATTATTAAATAGAATATTATGTGCTATTTTCCAGCATATTTGTTTCATCTAAACAGGTTGACAGTTAAATAGTTAAAACAAGTAGTATTTGAGCGTGTTGATCGCTTCGCTTATCTTAGGAGTCTCATCAGTCTGGTGTCTGACGAAATCTCAGCACGGATACAGAAGGCTCGACTAGCTTTTGCCAACTTGCGTCCTTTATGGCGTAGGCGAGATATCCGTCCATCAACCAAAGGACGGGTTTACTGATCAGCGGTTCGTTCCGTCCCACTTTATGGCAGTGAAACATGGCCGATAAGAGTAAAGAATATTCGTAGGTTACTAGTATTCGATCATAGGTGTCTTCGAAACATTGCTCGTATATCATGGGACCATCGAGTAAGTAATGCAGTTGTTAGGAAACGGGCACTAGGTAAGGATGGCAAATCAATTGATGAAGTAGAGATACTTCATCAGTTGAGATGGCTGGGATACGTGTTATGTATGCCCAACCACCGACTGCCCCGACATGCGATGTTTTATGTTGTAGAAGTAGGTTGGAAGAAAGTTAGGGGCGACCAGACCAGAACATGGCACAAATCCATGAAGTCACTGATAAGTAGGTTGAATCATGTTGGTAGGTGTAGACGGCCTGGTTGGGGACCGCGAGATGATAGCAACCGATGGTTAGAGACCCTGAATGACATGGCTCAAAATCATTTGCAATGGCGCAGGTGCATACACTCTTTCTGTTCTCCCAAATTCTAATCTTATGAATTCTTCATGTCACTTTATTTCTCTTTCTAAATTTATTTCACCGTATTATACTGCTTGGATAACATCTCGAAACCCTAATCTTTCCAATTACTGCTTATACTTTTACTACTTCTACCACTAGGGAATTTGAGTCTACAACTGCATCTTTGTGCTAATGCGGTATGGTAACTCGAACTGATGTACGTACGTACGAAGTTCTACGTTGTTATCGACTGGTTGAATTAAAACAAATGAATAAAACAATAAATCTTACTGTATTCAATATTATAATTCCATATCATCAGTCGATAATCCATTAACAGAACATATAATTGATTTTTCTCAGATGGAACAAACTCCATACTAACAGCAGGACAACCAAAATGTGACATGGAATAAGTATCCACTGAAGTGAATCTAAATAAGATTGAAGAAAATTCCACACGAAAAATATTAAACATAATTTGAACGATAAATAATCTTCGATGAAGTTTTGATAAAGAAAACACTGATACTATTTGAAAAAAGCTCCCTCAAACATCAATGTTACACAATCACTTACTTACTAATTAGTAACCTAAATAACATACGGTTCAAAATTATTGATAATGACGATTTGTTTAAAGGAGAAAATGGGATACACTCATTGATACATTAAAACACGAAAGACGAATAAGACTAATTTCTAACAAAAACTTAATGAATAACATTTCAGATTAGACCAATTTTAGGTGTATTATATTCAGTTTACCTGCTTCTATGGAGGAGTCAGAAGTAAATATATACTATACTGACTACCTTAGGTAACCGATTATTGCAGTCAGGAAACGCTGATTAGTTTTATATTAGAACTGACAATACAAATCAATGGAATAATAGCTTTCATGTGAATAATTAACATTCACATGTCAAATTATCCCTTGTAGTAAAGAAAAAAAAATCAATATTACATATTAGGAGGTGGGTCAGTGTCACGAGTTAGGGTTATTACCCCACAGCTTCCGTCATCAATAGATATCAGTTGTAATGCAAAACGTAAGGGTTGGGTATTGAGTTAATTCAGAATTTTCAGTTGGATTTACAAATTAGGATTAGTGTTTTCATCACCAACCGACATCAGTTATAATACAATGTTTTGTCGCTCTTTAGTTTACAGACTTGAGAAACTTAAGGTTGAGTTAGAGTGTGAGAATCTTATCTAGCTTCACTAAATACTCTTGACTGCGCATTACATTATACAAAGCACTTCAACACACAACCTGGCATAGAAGCAGGCTATTTTAAATATAATAGTCCTACAGATGGCGGTCCGATTGCGACCCGAATGGTTCATTGGTGGTAACATTCCAAATTGTAAAGCTAATTAAAGTGAGTACCAATTCTAAAGCTGTCTCATTAACGTAGATATAACTTGCCAACAAAAGCCAAAGAGTAGTAAAAACCTAATTTCAAGACTACTTCGAACCAAATTACATACTCCTTTCCACTAAACTGCTGAAACATGTTACTTCGTATTTCAATGATACTAATCAAATAAGTACTTCCATAACAGTTGAATATTTATTAGACGGGAGTTTTGTGGAGATTTTAGTAATTTCAGTTGTTGAGATCATGAATCGATTGAAGCTAGACCACTATGGAAAACCTAACAGCACTGGAAGGCCGTTTCGTCCGTTGTGAGATAGTAACTCACTGATGACGATGGTGGATGGGTCGCTCAATTTAATGGATTAGTTGAAGTTAGACATTAACACCATTGGATGCCGGCTCAGTGGTCTAGTGGTTAAGTGCTCGTGCGCGAGACCAGTAGGCCCTGGGCTCGTATCCAGCAAGGAAGGATCGTGGATGCACACTGCTGAGGAGTCCCACAATAAGACGAAACAGCCGTCCAGTGCTTCCAGGTTTTCCATGGTGGTCTAGCTTCAATTGATTTATAATCTCAACAATGGAATATTTATTACTCACACTAATAGACGAATGGTACATTACCATAAATGAATAAACATCATCATACTCTTAGATATCTTAATGTTGCATTATTCAAATAATGATATCTAAGTATTTATTTGAACACATTGGTACAAACAGACACCAAATAGATATGCGACACATAAATCAATCGACTTGTGTGAGGGCTGTGATACTGCCCGGGTGCCCAAACCGAAACAAGTGGTTTTCGTAGGAGGCCACACCCGGAGCCTTCGACCTAAAGGTCCAATCCACACGGCAGTGGAGCATCGTAAGGAGACGCAGTCCCACGGTAGCCGGTCACCAACGATGGGTTCATGCGCCATTTTCCCCTCAGGGTACTGGAGCCTATAGTGACTCACGTGCAATTGAGTTTATTCTCATTTAACTCAGTTAAGCCCTTTTGCTAACTCATTTAGCGGACAAAGTCATCCGCACTATAACAATTTATTGTACCCATATTATTTTGTGCTTGTATGAAATACGTATACTTGAATATTGCTTACTGCCTACGCATTTATTCACTCTGCTAGTCTTACTACTAACCGCTTATTTGATTCGATTACTCATTCATTTCACATGGTATATATATGTCCATGTTATTCATATTCAACTCACACACTGTTGTCTCGCTCTTACTCTGGCTCTCGCTCGCTTGCTTTCCTTTCGGCACAACTCTTCTATGCTTGTTTAACGCATCTGTACATTTGGATATATGTGTGTGGTCTCGCAATAAACGTAATCAACACTTCGTATTTGACTTCTGATTAATATACCGTTTGGGAGTTATATAGAACGGTTATCAGGACGAACTGTATACGAAGTTAAGGATTATATCGAATACTGACCACCACAAGCCCATGTGCACCATTAGTTTGGAATCAGGGTTTTCCAAATCCACTAGATGAACTGTCCATGTCCACCAACCCGGCTAAAGCTTTGGACGATCGCCTTCCATCCTCTCAATTTCGTAAACGACACCCCCGCCACGAGAAGGCAGTGAGTAGTACTTCCCTGGGAGAGGCTGTATACGCGTGGCCATGTGAGAGAATTTCGAGAGGGAGAGCGGACTATCCCCATTCTCAGTCGTACCAGAGCATTTGGAGAACATTTGATAAAAATGGTCTGATGAACTTATGTTATATCATTGAAACTAGAATTTAACATTCACTAAAGTGTTTATTATATATCTGTCAGGTCTTGATAACTATGATTACGTAATTAGAATATCAACACGAAATACTCCTGATCGAATTTCTAATAATAATTTTTATCCATCAATTGTCACTCATGTTGTAAATAACTTCAACGTCTGTCAACATCTTCATATGACTGCCCTATCTGTGACAGTTCAACAGTATTTCGATCCACCATACAACAGCTTCCTTATCTCATGAGTTCCCACTCCTACAAAATATAAATCTCACAACGAAGATTTATTCATGATACAGTCAAATTAATTGGAATTACTGTCGAGTTTACTCGGTCTTGTACCGACTAAATTGAGTGATTATTCGTCGTAAAAATTATAAATTAAAGTAATCATCATTTGAACACCGAAACTACAAAGAGTCGATTAAAATCGATAATGTACACTGTGAGTACATTTCCACTCTACTCCTGTATTCAACTATCAATTAGATTTGGGTAAAAGGAAACGACTATTTAAATGAGATAATAGGTTGAACATTGACAAATTCTATTTACAAACAATTGGGAATTTTCTAATATGAACGAGAACACATATGAACTTGAAAGAATCGGACGTCTGCCCCCAAAGGCCCTGGTACAGCCGAGAGTGGGGAGAGTCCGCTCTCCCTCTCCAAATGCTCTCACATGGACACGTGCATACAATCACTGCCTTCTCGTGGTGGGGGGTGTTTACGATATTGATAGGACGAAAAGCGAATGTTCGGCACTTTGACCGGGTTGGTGGACACGGTGGGTCCACCTGCGGGAGTTGAAAACCCTGGTTCAAAACCAATGGTGTACATGGGCTCCAGTACCCTGAGGGAACAAATGGCGTATGAACCAATCGTTGGTCACCGGCTACCATGAGACTGCATCTCCTTACGATGCTCCACTGCCGTGTGGATTGGACCTTTAGGTCGAAGGCTCCGGGTGTGGCCTCCTACGAAAACCACCTGCTTCGGTTGGGCACTCGGGAAGTATCACAGTCCTCACACAAATCAAGTGACTTGCGTGGTGTATATGTATTCGGTGCCCCTTTGTACCAATATTTATGTGTTTAAACGAATAAATAAACTGATACATAACAATACTTCAGAGTTACCGATCCACATGGTGATGATAAGAGTTAGAGAACACGGGACTTTCAGAAGAGTTTTGTATTCTGTACAAAAATCAAACGTTGAAAAGGTACAACTCTGTTTATATAGAAACGTTTAATGACCTAGAAATCTATAAATAATAAAGGTAGTGAACTAGAAGCGATAACAATCAATAGTGTAACGCCAAGTGTTATTTCAGAAATAGATATTAGAGGTGTTATCTTTTGAAGAAATAACTAGATAACCTAAGCTGTCCTTAGCATTACCACATCAAAATATCAAATTACATTGTCCAATATGTAATACAAACGATAATTGCAAAGTGATATTTTATTTAAAAATTATTCTACAAAAACATAACCAATCTATTCTAATGAATTAATTCAGAACTAGTTGTTTTCATGCAGGCGAAAACGATACTGTTCACTGACTTTCGAGGATGATTTTGCGATAGTAGAAGTTAGATGTCTAAGAAGTCATTTTTTGAAGTAGCAAAGAGAGCAAGCTTAGCGAATGAACAAAAATGCATAGATTATCATGATAAGTAAAACGATCTAAGATATAAATTACGAAATGTATTCACTAATAAAAACGAAACGCTTCCTTACTTAACAAAATCATGAATTCCATCGACTGATGATGAAGACAGATCTTTATTCTCATTCTCTTTTTCTGATTCACGGCACTGCCACCAAGTTAAACGTGACTGATCATCAATTGGTAATCCTTGTTCATGATCAGCTAACTTTTTTACACATTCATAAGTCACAAACCACGTAAATGCAACTTCAGTGCACAACTGGGTCATTAGTAATACTTCAGCATGTATAATTGGATGTTTTGAATCCGTACTTCTGACAACAAGATTTTGGTGAGTAATATCAATCTATAGTGAGAGAAAAAAGAGGAAATGTCACTTTATCTGAAACCGTCTCACTTACACATGACTTCTTAATTCCAGTTTCTTTTATTAGTTTGAAAAGCTATCTGGTGTTACCTACAGAAACTACCTTCTCCATCTCTTATGTGTTCGTTGCTCACCACTGCTCAAGATCGTTCCGTAGACTTTTGGATAACAATTTGGTTCAAGTAACTAACAGATGTCGCTGCTAATTTCACAGCTGTTTGTATATCCTTCCAAGCAACATCTCGTTTTTTAGAACTACCTAAGTGTGACCTCAGTTGTTCCTGGAATCTACTTTCGGCCTTCTCGTCAATCAATTCAATTCTAATGGGTCTTTTTGTGTGGACTTTCTGAGTCGTGAGGCCCAATCAGATGCGTGCTCGTATTAGGGAATAGTCGGAGTCCAAGCAAGCATTCCAGAACGAGAAAGTCTTCTATCGACCCTTTTCAATGGTGACTGATGCCAATATGATCTGAGTCGATCGTTGGTTTGGTGCAGGGGGTCACCATGTTAGATGATGTCTCTCCTTATGCTTAAAATTAGTGCTTACTAAAAAAACAATTGACTGAGCACAGTTGCAACAGATGATCACCATTATCTGTTCACTGAGCCGGGATACTAAATTACCCACCTAAATGTCTTTCTGTTTGGTTTAAGCTACCTACTTGGGCATTATAGTCACCTGCTACGAGTACTATGTCTGGGCGTTTAGGTTTTTGAAGAAGTTCAAAAAGCCTTCTGCAAAAGTCATTTTTCGCTTTATCCGGGCTGCGGTCAATGTGCGCGTAGACAGAAATGACGAAAAGGCAATGAAGTGTGTCCCTATCCTCCCGAGTTCTTAGCCGAACAGCACATAGGCAACTGTTAACGGGGACCCACTATGATAGTGTTTGTTCTGCCCTCGTACTCAGTGCTGTCTACACACGCCGGTCCACGAGAACCATCGGGTCGCCAGATACACGGAGGGTGTCTCGTTGGGTTTCCGTTTCGGCGAGGTGATGTCAAGTGAATGACCATACTAGGATCCTGTATTCGTGTTTCAGAGATACACCGTACATCAATGGTACGAGATTCCAGGGTTTTAGCCAAGGAGGCCTGCTGACTGATTTGACATACGGTGCGTACGTTGAAGGCTCTAATGTGTATAGACTTGAGACAGTGTTTCGAGCACTAGAATCGTTGGCCATGGTGACACTTGAGAAGAAAGTCAAAAGAGGGAGTCTAGAGTTGAAATTCGAGGTAGGGGAAATAATAGGAATCAAAGACGGAAAGTGATTATGAATACAGTGGTCTTGAGTGCTGTTAGAGGTATGAGGGCGGTCTTCACTTCCCGGTTGCCCACACTATGGAAGGGTTCTTCTATGTTCTTCATATGTGTTCTCGTTCATATTAGAAAATTCTCAATTGTTTGTAAATAGAATTTGTCAATGTTCAACCTATTATCTCATTTAAATAGTCGTTTCCTTTTACCCAAATCTAATTGATAGTTGAATACAGGAGTAGAGTGGAAATGTACTCACAGTGTACATTATCGATTTTAATCGACTCTTTGTAGTTTCGGTGTTCAAATGATGATTACTTTAATTTATAATTTTTACGACGAATAATCACTCAATTTAGTCGGTACAAGACCGAGTAAACTCGACAGTAATTCCAATTAATTTGACTGTATCATGAATAAATCTTCGTTGTGAGATTTATATTTTGTAGGAGTGGGAACTCATGAGATAAGGAAGCTGTTGTATGGTGGATCGAAATACTGTTGAACTGTCACAGATAGGGCAGTCATATGATGTTGACAGACGTTGAAGTTATTTACAACATGAGTGACAATTGATGAAAAATTATCGTTATAATTCAATCAGCAGTTGAAAGTTAGTTGGCGTTTATTGAAATACTATGGGAAAATTCACTACATCATACCACATCAAGGCACAACAATGTTGAACTTTGGATAAAATTGAATTTATTGTAGCAATAGGACCAATACTAACTGGTTACTTAAACCGAAGTAAGTGGGATGTGGTCAGTGCTTGGAACTTAGTAACTGAAAGCTGAACGTATTTATCACCAAACCAAGACTAAGCAAAAGTTTGTTAGATAAAGAATAAACGCTTTCTGTAAAATATCATCCGCCTTATTGCAATTATTTGTATGGGGATGTGAGGATTGTCGAATTTCATAGAAATCATGAATTGATCTTGAAAGACTGGATAGCTGTTTCATCCTCATTTGGAACTACTTATCAGTGGGCACCGACAAAGTGTTCACCGGGATCGAAGCCAGGACTATCGATTTCGCATGCCACTTAGTAAGAACTCGTCCGTGTTAATGTCTAAATTCAATTGATCCGCGATATTGCGCGAGCATCTTCCATTATGATCAGTGGGTACCTTCCTCACACCCGATACAGATGAACTCCACTGGAATCAATGTGAATTTATTACCATAACCTGCTTCGGTTTGGGCGCCCGGACAGTATTCCAACCCTCACATAAATCGAATGACAAAGTGTGGTGCCTCCTTGTACCATTGTTTATGTGTTTAAACAAATAAATAAAGTAAATTATCATAAAGTTTTTAATCAACACTGCATCCACACAATAATAATTGATTACCGTTTGAACACAATGTTCACGGTCATTTACATTCATTAGTTGTATTTTACCACAGCCACCATTTGTCAAGAGATAAGTCGAAGACAATTCATCATCTCTATGTGGAAGTTTACTTTGTAGAGTCATTAAATTTTCGGGCATCGTTAATGTAACAGGAAACCAGTGTTTAGGTAATTGCATAAAACCTTGTTTTGAGTAGATTATTGTGAAAGCTCCATCCATAATATGAAATGCTGATGAGTTTAAATAAATTGAAAAAAAGAAACAAAAGTTTTCTTAATGATGTGAATTTGCTTTTTTCTGGATTATTATTACCATTATTGTTATATATACTCATATCGTACAATTATTAAGTAACTAGGCTTCCTATATTCCCATTATTTTAAGTTTTTGTTGGACCTCTTAACTGTGGTTATACATGTATTTATTCCTAAATTATTGCTAATCAGTTATCGACGGCTTGCCCTATTCGCTGCCATATTTTACTTGTTTATGTATAGAGTAGGATCTCCAAATTTATGGTATGATGCAGCCTGAAACACTGATATATATAAAGGCATGTGTGCTTGAAATACAATAATAGAAACTTAGCTGGGGCGTTTATCAGTACATAAATAGGAATTAGGATGACCTCGAACTTAACTTACGGTTATTCTTATCACTCGAGGAGTACATTAGTCAAAACTTGGAACGACAAGCCAAAGACGGAATAGTAAACGCAAAGTAAATGAAATATAGTGGGATATGTATGGCGAGATTTTTTACGATATCGATCAAAACTACTATCGTTGGTTTAGAGTAACTGAGCGGTATCACCGCTTTTACACAAACGTTTGAGCATGACAAAAAACTGATTTAAGTGCATAAATTACCAAAATTCGGCTCGACGAAATATGAACAGAATAGAATTTCTAGAAGCATGATATTCAAATTAATGTGCAACTGACAACCATGCCAAAATAGAGCGAACAGAGTACCATATGAAGCATTGATTAGTTGTATCCCACAGTAATTTTGGCCTTATGACAGTGACTGCTATGAAGAACCCGGGATGCCGTATGCAAAATTAGTAAAAGTCACCAAAATCATTTCCCAAAACAGTTTAATCCGATAATGATGACAATAATTATTTTCAAAAATATATATAGTAAGCAAATACTTACAATTATTCTCCAAATTGACAGATATCATATCTTCACATAAACCACCATGACTTCGAACAGAAGATACTGGATAGCCAAAATGAGGTAGAAAACGACGCTGTTGTGGACCTCCAAAACAGTCAGTCACATCCCATTTGACCAACACACCTTCCAAACCACCAGAGAGAAGATGAGTGCCTGTAAGTTGAGAAGACTTTTGATTACTGCATGCTTCAAACTCGTAGTACGCTCATTTTAACACACGAGACAACTTTTGGTAAAACAAAATAAATTTTAGCACATTTTCAATTCTTAACAGGCTCCAATAAGTGCTTATATTGGATGAATGAGAATGAAAAGTAGCTCTCTGAAATAATACATGTTAACTAACAAAATACTAAAATTACCGAACATGTTATTAATAAAAATAATTGACTCCACGATTCGATTCCTTGGGAGCATAATACATACAATATGTTCCGCGATGAAAAGTATGAATAAGTATTAGAGAGTGAGACAGAAGACGATATAAGGGTACAAGAACGAAATCAATACATGTGATGTAGGAATCTAGGGGAAATTATGAACCATATAGCTCGCGAAATATCGTTTGGTTGTTATCACCATCATCAAACAGTTTTTAAAGATGTTATAGGTCACAAAAATATCATTCAGTTAAAAATAACCGAACAAGTTTCCTAACACATAATATGACAGACGTAAAAACATTGCATTTGTAACTAACCGCATGACGTAAAGCAAAGACTTGTCACTTGTACAGAATGCCAATGAAGTAAAGACCTTTTAACATGAGAAGGATGAACTGGGTAATAAGTGAATAAACGACCTTCTGCAAAATGTTTTTTGATAGCTTTTTTGACATCATCGAAAGTATCATTTTCTGCGCAATTTTCATTCCCAGTCCACTCGTCAGAAACAGGGTTTAGCATGTTTAAATGATCATCAGTTTGAGCACATAAATTCCACCAAATGAATATTTCACCAAGACCATTTCCTGTAGCAACGATGCAGTCGTTTGGATGTGCTGCGACGCATGTGTAATTCTTTTGTTCTGAATGCCTTTCATTATTGGGAACCGAGTACCTATGAAAAGGGGTAAAATTTACTTTGATTACATTAACATTGGTACAAGGAGGCACCAGATATATGTGTCACACTTTGTCATTCGATTTGTGTGAGGGCTGGAATATTGCCCGCGCGCCCAAACCGAAGCGACATTTACATAAACATCCTTAAAGAGAATGAATACTGCCATTTAGTTAAAATGTTAGAAATTCAGTAAACAAGTGTTTAAGTTCGACCGAATCATCACAAAAGGTATGACCAACTACTATGACTGCTACTCGGAAAACATGACCAACTATTCGTATAATACTGTATTAGTTGTCAAGTTTGAGATAGTATGGCTTCAACCTTATTAAACATTTGCAATTTGATGTAAGCCATATTAACGTTACTCGAAAGAAAACAAATGACTCAACCATAAAGACATCGAATTTTAAAGCTCAAGTCAACCTTTTTATCAGACTGGACTAAAATAAATTAACTGACTGAATGTAGTCTATCCACTAACAACAAACCTTAGTAAGGATATGTTAGATATAAAACACGCCAATATGATCAAAAAACCCAGAGGTTGCCTGGAATGAAAAAGTTTTACTTCGTAAAAAGGAAGATATCCCATGACTTCAAGACGAAGAAGGCTGCCACGAATAATGATACTTTAATAGAGATAAATTCAGCCGTCTAGTAAGCATGAGTGTTAGTACTGACTTAATTAGGTAACCGAATGGTGGGAAAAAATGTATATATTCATTTGCTCAACGACATCGTAAAATTGTGGTATGGCAACTGAAACAGATGCAAATATATGGCAGGTTTAACGCTGCTTTGACTGCTAACAAGATGTACTGTTAGACGGACTACTAAGACTGAACGGATGTTTCCAAACAGTGAAAGAATGAATGTATCCATTGTTAATAAACCAATAAGTTATGCTTTATGTTCATTAGTGACAGTTCATGATAATCACAAGAGCGCACACAAAAGCTTGTCATCATAAAGACCAATTAAGGATGATAGGATAAACTTATTTCATTCTTTGATGTATTTATGTATAGAATACACTGGACAGATAAGTAAGAAACCAATAAATCCGATCAGTCAGTCAGTAACAACTTAGAACTTCGTACGTACGTACATCAGTTCGAGTTGCCACACCACATTAGCATAGAGATGCAGTGGTCGATTCAAATCCCGCAGTAGTAGAGGTAATAAGAGTATAAGCAGTAATCGGGAAGATTAGTGTTTGGAGATGTTACTTAAAGAGTATAATACAGTGAAATAAATTTGAGAGGAGAAAAAAAAGAGACAAGGAGATCAAAATTTGGGAGAACACAAAGAGTGTATGCACCTGCGCCATTGCAAACGATTTTGAGCCCAATAAATCCGGTGCACCAGCAAGTAGAGTCACTTTACACTTTCGATTAAATTACGACTGTTTAAATAGAGAAATGCAATTTGTGAATGTACCCAAAATGAAGCGTTACATAAAATTTAGTAAATGGCAGCTCAAGCTAATAGATTTTTGCCACTAGATTTTATCAACATTAGCATCTACTATTCAAGTTTACGATATAAAAGACAAGTCTACAGACTTTTATTATTTACTCTTGAGTAACATATAGTGAATCTGTCATATTCTGAGAGTAATATTCTCTTTCGTTCATTCAAATTTATGAAGAGATCCAGTCGCATGAACTTCACGATAACTTAGTTTTGTGAAAACCAAATTGTTTGGAGAAAACAAGACCTTTATGCGTTTATTTTAAACGGCGAAAGTCAATTCAAACCGAAGAATACTATGAGGAAATAAGTACCTTAATATTAAAAGTTAAAGAATTACCTCACTGAGACATTTAAGTTAATCCAGTATACGATAAGGATGGAGTCGACTATACATGCTACAAAATCAGAATCCTACAACTGATTAAGAACATAAATCTTATACTTTATACGCCATAATAGCATTCTGAGGGAATTCTACGTAGTCTACATAACTTCCTGTAGAGCGGTCATATGACTTCACGACATCTACAAAAGAATATACATAATTACCACTCATCTACGTTTGTTTTTGCAAGTATGGCTAAAAATGTAGCCAGTCGCAGTAGGGAAGCAGAAGTCTATTGGGAACCTGGTATTCAAAATCTTTACGATATTGTACAATGGATCAAAAACTTACCTGGACCTTCTCAAATGTTTTAGTATCCCAAACGATTAGCTTTCCATCTAGACCACCAGAAATCACCTGAAACATTAGAAAACCACTTAGAGACATACATGATGGGTTTGTCGATTCCAGGGACAATCCAAACCACTGAGTCTCTATGTCCGTGTAAGAACTGAGAGACTCCCGTGCGTGTATCAAGAACAACGACAAACTTGTCAGAGGAGTAAACAATGCGACTAGAAAAAAATGTATTTCAATGGTTTATATTACCTCTCGCTTTTCAGATATACAGGATCCGAGTTAATAACAAGCGATGATAGTCTACTAACTTTAGAAGTCATGCCGCGCGATCCCTACAGCGCGCCGGTTTCATCGACCTTCAGATATTCAATATTTCGCCACGAGCTTGTATAAACCGATTGCTATCTGGGGAAGACCCTCGTTTCGGTGAGGCTTGGCGTACTCAATATGCTGAATGCCGTTACCAGTTATACAATTCGTATCTGCTCCACCCCGTCCCAATATCTGGCGAGCTAATATTCCGGAAATCAGAAACCGTGCTATCTCGACCGATTGGTCGGTCGACGCGGATGGATTGATCGAAGATGAATGGAATAAGTTTAAGGCTACATTCGAGTCCGTAACGTCGCCGTTTATCCCATGGTCAGCACGTAAGCTATCACATTGCCCTCCATGGATTAATAAGGAAACCCGGAAGCTGTTAAAGCGTAGGAAACATTTCTGGGACTTATTCTTGTTGACAGGTCATGCACCATTTAAGCGTGAGTATCAAAAATACCGTAATATCTGTAAGAAAACCATAGCGAAATCCCGTACCACTTACGAACGACAGTTAGTATATGATAGCCGTACTTGTCCGAAACGATTGTTTTCGTATGTTAAACGGCAAATGAAACGTAGTGATGGTATTCCCCCGTTGCTGTTACACGAAAATTCAGAATTACTAGCTGAATCAGATCGAGCAAAAGCTGAGACTTTTTCAGATTATTTTAGCGAAGTCTTCTCTACGTTTATTGTAACAAATACTTGTCCCACTCACACCGAGATACCAACCATTGAATCCGTACAGGTGACTGAGGAAACTGTCCTTCCGTTGATAACTAACCTCAAACCTGGTAAGATACCGGGCCCTGACGGGTTACATCCACGGTTGCTGTCATCTCTTGCGGACATTATTTCAAAACCGCTTGCGACACTCTTCAACATGTCCCTCTCACTCGCCCAACTCCCTAGAGATTGGAAGGACGCTATAGTTAGTCCTATATTTAAGGACGGTCAGCGACAGATAGTATCTAACTACCGGCCTGTCAGTCTAACTAGCATAGTCGTTAAGTTACTCGAAAAGATAATTCGGGTTAGGTTGCTAAGCCACATAGATTTACACAATCTGTTAGCTCCTGAGCAACACGGATTTCGTAACAAGCGTTCATGCTTGACTAACTTGCTTATTGCGAGGGAGGATTGGACAGCAGCCCTAGATCACGGTCTGTCTGTCGACGTGATATTCATAGATTTTAGCAAAGCGTTTGACAAGGTTTCACACGTAGGTCTTATGCAGAAGCTCACGAGCTTCGGAATAATAGGTACTGTACATGAGTGGATAGGAAATTTCTTATGTGACCGCAGACAGAGAGTTAGGGTCAATGGAACGCTATCCGATTGGAAGCCGGTCAAAAGTGGTGTACCCCAAGGCACCATCTTAGGCCCTCTGCTCTTCCTTCTCTACGTTAATGAGTTACCACTGTTACTTAGGTCGTCGACATTATTGTTTGCAGATGATGTAAAAATCTGGAGAACAATAAAAAGTGCGGCTGATCATGTGGATCTTCAAGCTGATTTAGACGATTTAGTTAGATGGGCTCGAGAGTGGGGCTTAGAAATTAATGCTAGGAAGAGTGTACTAATGCACGTCGGTCACGGTAATAGTTACCGTTACACTATTGAGGGTAAACCTCTTCCATGCGTTCAAGAGCATAAGGACTTAGGAGTAATATTAAGTCATGACTTAAAAACAACTGCGCATTGCAAAGCAGCCGCTGTCAAAGGTTTTCGTGCGTTATGGTCACTTCGCCGAGCGTTCAAATCTTTTGACGAGGAAACGTTTCGAATTTTATACCCCATATATGTTAGACCACATTTAGAGTACTGTATCCAAGCAGCTAGCCCGTGTCTAGTAAAGGATACTAACTCCCTTGAGCGTGTCCAGCGTGTGGGAACGAAATTAGTGAAGGGTCTTTCTAGTCTCCCTTACGATGAGCGCTTAAAACGCCTAAATCTTTTCCCCTTGTCGTATCGTAGGACACGAGGTGACCTTATACTGGCATTTCGTATCTTTAATTATGATTTGGGTGTTAATATGTCTTATCTTTTTGCTCCCTCCAGCACTAATAATCTCCGAGGTCATAGCAAGAAGGTTCATAAACCACGATCTAATAAACTTAAAGTGGGATCCCGTTTTTCTCATCGAGTAGTCAATCATTGGAACGCCTTACCCGAACAAGTGGTATCAGCCCCATCAGTGAATACTTTCAAGGAAAAGCTGGACCTTCACTGGAAAGCAATGTGTCAGGATTAACACAGGTTCATCAACCTACTATCCTTATTACTGAAGACTGAAGACCTATCATTCTTATAAAGCTCAGTGACAATAATGCTAGGTGCTGGAGACTTTCATCATAAGATTTGTATCAGCGCTATCATCCACTTTGTTGCTCGTCTCTATACTTGGTCTGAAAGATTTGTCTCTTTCAAAGAGATGAGGTGCGCAAGGGTTGTGCACTTCAAGGTACGGCCGTGAGTATTTTTCAAAAGATCTAGCAGAAATTCCAGGGTGATTGCGCCGATAAGTATTCGCGTAAGTTTAATAATTGAGTTTACGTCATATACATCCACTTTACAATTTGAAGTGCTATCCAGGCTACTAGCTCAGGATCATGCGCTAAAGTGACCATTAGGAGCAGATTTCCGTAGGATTGCAAGTGCTTTGTGTCAAGTGAAGTAGGATACCTGACGCGCGTTTCAAAAAGGGCAGTAATTTGTACTTGCTTTGATTAGCTTTGGTTTTGTGACTTGTTGCATCAACGGCATTCTTGGTCCACTTTATCTAAAGTATTTCGATTAAGGTTTGAAGTCTTGATAAACTTTGTCTTGTGGTACCCTCTTTCTCTTTGACTGACACTTGTGTTCATATTGTGTTCTAAACCTTCTTAGTCTGATTGCAATGGTTGATTGTAGACAATCAAACTGTTTGTTCCCTGTCGAGGGAGGAATGCAGTGCGACGAGTGAAATAGGTGGTTTCATAAGATGTGTACCCGTTTAAGTCCCGCCGCATACAGAATATACTCGAAGACTAACCCGCATTGGCTTGAAATGATTCGCGACACTCTTTAACAAATCCCTTTCACTCGCTCAACTCTCCAAAGATTGGAAAGACTCTATAGTCAGTTCCATATTTAAGAATGGTCAGAGGCAGATCGTATCTAACTACCGGTCTGTCAGTTTAACTAGCATAGTCGTTAAGTTACTTGAAAAGATAGTTTGGGTTAAGACACTAAATCACATAGATTCGCACAATCTCTTAACTCACGAGCAACATGGGTTTCGTAACAAGCGTTCATGCTTGACTAACTCACTTATTGTGGGAGAGGATTGGACAACAACCCTAGATAACGGTCTGTCTGTATTTGATAGTGTTTAACACTTTAGCCTTATGCAAAAACCTTTGAGCTTCGGAATAACAGGTGTACAGGAATGGATAAGAAACTTTTTATGTGACCGCAGACAGAGGGTGGGGATCAATGAAACGATATCTGAATGGAAACCGGTCGAAATTGGTGTACCCCAAGGCATCAACTTGGGCCCCCTACTTTTCTTTCTCTACGCTAGTGAATTACCGCTGTTGCTTAAGTCGTCGACATTATTGTTTGTGGATGCGAAAATCTGGAGAACAATATGAAGTGAGGCTGATCATTTGGATCTCCAAGCTGACTTAGATGAATTAGTTAGATGAGCTAGAGGTTGGGTCCTAGAAGTTAATTCTAGGAAGAGTGTGTTCATGCACATCGAATAGGGTAATGTTTATAATTGAACTATTGATGTTACATCACTTTCACGCGTTCAAGAAAACCTAATATGCGTCAAACTATCTATTAGTCTGACGATACAAAAAACCAATCATTATTTTCCTCGCTCACAAAGCAGGAGTGTTCTGCGCTTGCATGCTTCTCGTGTATTAGATTGGCATGAAGGATTTCTCATGAATTTCAGTGATACTGTGCTTGCTGATAAAAAAGGTCTTAAGCCATTAGCTCTGATACACTGCATAGTATCACTAACCACATACTCAAAACAATCCAAAATGAAGTTAGTTACTGAGTATGAGTAAGTAGTACAGTGTAAAACACAGGAGTAACTGAGCTATATAGAGATGAAGAACAAACGTATAAACACTGTCATATAACTGTGATTGACAGAACTCAGTTAGCCCACATCGTTTGGTTTGTCATGAAGACTCATATAGTGTCTCTAACTTGTTATATTTTAGATGGGCTTACTGTTAATTAGAGAGTGATTGACAAATGCACGCTTTGAGAAAGAGTTCAAAACACACCACAATAAAGGAATAACTGATAATGACACTTAATCCTCACAGGAAACCACATTTTTTGTCATTATTTTTCTAAAGCCTTAATGTTCGTTTTCTCGGGGAAAACTTAAAATCTTCTTCTTAAGGTATAACTTTAACAATTATTCGTTTGGAATCTCTTAGCACACAATAATTTTACCTTGTTTCAAAGTTTTTCTGACTATTTATCACAAGAACGTGCCTTCTTCGTCTGTTTACCAACTAATTCTTCTTGTAAAACCGTCTTTTGGATTAGTCGGGATTACAACAAGAATGAGAAATATATCATCCTGCTATTTGAGTCAAAGATTTTATTGCACAAATACACTTTTTCCCAAGGCATATTGTCTATGCATAATACCATTACCATTCCCACTACTCTAACACGCGTCTCGATAATTTCATTGAGTTGAACTAATGTGATATGACAAATTAAATGGA